CATTTCCAGCATCTTGATGGGACATTTCTCGAGGAAAATAGCAAAGCCTTCTCTGTTTTCTGTGCTCTGCCTTTCAAAGCTCTGTCGAGGCGCAACAGATTTTCTCTATAGGTGAAACCATGAGTTTCTGTTGAATTTCTGAATTCATCGATGAATATCGGCCACTCCGTAAAATCGCTAGATTCTGACTCTTTGGCGCATCAATAATTCATTAGTGGCAAAGGTATTTTCAATGCACTGTCTAGCAGCATCGAAAAGGACTTCGTTTTGTTTGAGATGTTCCGTCTCCACCTCCAAATGAGGCTTCCGCCAAGAAATTGTTGGAAAATAGAATAGCAATGTTGAGAATGTGTTGAACTAGATTTGATGCATCCTCTAGCTCCTTCAAGCCATTTGTTCAGATAGCTGGGACTCTGGTACAAATCTTCTTCAGGAACATAATCATTCTCACAGCTAGCTTCCTGTTCTAGTATTTTCTTATGGATTTTTGTTTTCTTCTTGAGATGTTCACGTCTTCTTTCGATTGCTCGAAGACGTTCGTTGGCTTCTTCTTCATCTAGCCGGTTCTGTTGTTCAACTGCTATGAGTTCTAGGCTCAGTTGATTAAGGCTAGACTTCTTTGAGACTATTGTTTGCCTCTCAGACCTTTCATCATACCTGGAACTTTCATTCCGAGCATGAGGCATTATCATTCCAGACCTGCACATGGTTTTCGTTGCAGCTTTAGAGCTTTCCACCAAACCTAAGGTTTTATTCTTCGAAGTGGATTGGTACATGGCACTATTATATTATAGTCTTCAGGCACTTCAGTTGAAGGTCCATTATATAACATTCACTGTCGCTGAATATCTCTTTGGTGATATTCTCTTGGTACACTTACTGCTAATTCGTCGTACCGCTTCCCCACCGGTATTGGCAGCCGATCTGAATTCCATAGCGCGTTCAGTTAGCGTCGAAGGACCAAATGTTGATTACAGCGCAAATAACGGCACACAATTCAATAAAATATTTGAAAAACTATCTTTTTATTTCTCTGACAAATTGTCACTTATAATATCACGAGAGCTTCAATTATTTCCGGAAATTTTTTCGAGACCACGAGTATTTTGAAAATTTTCTAAATATTCGTGTTCAAGAAAAATATCCCGGATATTAATTGAAGCTAAAGTGGTATTCGGTGGGAAAATTTACATTTTGATGGTTGTTCGTGGTGAAATGGAAGAACTAACGTATAGTAACAACATGTGTTTTTGTAAATATCGAATTTGCAAGTATTCCCACATAACATTATATGGTAAACTGTTGATAAATGATTTTTATTAATTAACTTATAGAATGAACTCGAAATAATCTGAAGTTGAATGTAAATGCCATTTAACATATAAACGTCAAAAAATTTCCAGTGTAATTTCATGCTGCGTCCCCCAAGGAGGAAGAAAAAAAATCCAAGAAATTTGTTTAGTTGCTATGGTAAGGCTTTGAATTGATCGAAAATGTTTGGTGAGAAATTTTCACATGAATTGAACTGACATAAGTTATCATCAAAAACAGGGTGATATAAAATTAAATTCAACAAGTGGAATAGTCTAACAAACACACCATTCTTTATTAACCATATAAAACAATAACAAAGACTTGAACGTAAAAAAAACGTGTACGAAGCATGCGTCTTCGTACAAGTTTTCAGGGGTTGAGGAAGTTGAAACTGTTTTCCAAGAATTCACACCTCTGAATGACTAGCAGTAGCACGAAAAACATGCAATAAAATTTTAATATAGAATCATAAACTGGTCACATACCTTTGGAAGAGGTGTGAATTATAGTGAATTGTTTTGATTCGGTCAGATATCGTCACAATGTTTATTTACTTTTTCGGAATTTTGTATGTTATCAACTGAATGTTTGACGTAGGATTCTTGGATCAACTGGGTTTTTTCGATCTTCATATGGTAGGATGGTGAAACAAACTAATTAACAAGTAAAAATCAATACTATAGAGAGTATTGATTGAATCGATTAACAAAAAGTGAAGTACCTAGGTACCTTACTGCATGCATTCATTATAATGATTTCTAGTAATAACTTACATAATAAGACAATGCAATCAAGTGAGTAATCTTTATCTGATGGTATATGACGATAACCATTTGAATGTTCGTTTAAAGTAAAATGAACTTCGTGGCATCAACATCTGAGATGAGTTACGCTAATATAATTCCCACGATCACAATTAACATTTAATTGAACATGTCTGCATCCAACCGGCGTTAACTATTACATAACCCTATATTAACATCCACATCAGATTCGATCTATCCAGGGTGAAAGTTCAAAGATCAAATCAAGAGATTAGACAGGCAAAAAAATTATGAAATTAACCTCGGCGAAACTATACCTATACGAATTATGAATGTGAAAATTTTCGAAGTTTGATGACCTTCTGAATGCACAACTTTTTTTCCGCAACAAACCAAATTCGTGTCTCCTATATACCGTTTCTGACATCCTCATTTTCAGAATAATCACTTCTGATTACATGAACAGTTTTTATCGAAGTAAACTTGATATTCCAATGAAAATTTTATACCAGTCATTTTCAACCAATAAGCTTTATTTCGGAATTGTTACTATGGTAATCAGTAAGTTTTTTGGAAAAGGAAAATTCATATTTAATTTTATAGAAACGAGGAGAGAATATGCCAAAAAATCTGGAATAATAAGTTGTATCGGGTTTAGTATAGCTGAAATCATAAGGAATGATACTACTTGTTCTAAACAATCTAACCTAACTCGGCTTAGATGAACCTTCTTCTTCTCGGAATAAATATATTTTTCCACATCGATCAGAATTGGTATAGCAAGGCATTATTCGTGTGTGTTTGAAGACTGTGGCTGAATCAGAAAGTGCGCATGAAGTATGGATGAATCGAAATGAAGGCAAATGGAAATGTGGGTGGATCGAAATTTGGGCCTCACGAGATGTTTCCATCTGTATTAGACAACCAGTACCTTTAGTCTCTTTTCCTATATCCTTTCAAAATGGCTCTGTTTCTTTTTGATTTTTTCGAATAGCTTGGCACGTGAAGGATGGTTCTATTGAAGAGTGTTTTTGAAATTGATGAATAAAGCAATATTTCTCCGATACAATTTGGCAACCACGCATTTCCCCACCACGGGAATCGGATTTTTTGTTTACTCGTTCTCGTTACCATGATACGAAAGCGTAGAAAGGCACTGTTGTGTGTATTTTATTTTATTTCTTTATTCAGACTTTAAAGTCTGAATTCAGACTCATTTTTTCTATGAATTCAGATTTTTTGTCTGAATTCAGACTTTTTTCTCTAAATTCAGACTTTTTTTCTGAATTCGGACTTTTTCTCGAATTCGGACTTTTTTCTCGAATTCAGACTTTAAATCCTGAATTCAGACTTCAAATCATGAATTCAGACTTATTTCTTTGAATTCAGACTTTTTTCTCTGAATACAGACTCATACTACACACCATATACCATATTACCGGGTGTAAGAGGATCATGGACCACCAAAACATTTTGATGAACCCAAATTGGTGATAAATCAAGAAATTTCACATTTTTTACAGGATTCAATATTTTTAGCATTACACCTGACAGTATTAGTACATCAGACTCGATCAGAATAGTCATGACACACTCAAATGGAAATTCAAACATGAAATTAAAATCAATATCGAAGTTTGAAATGTCACTTATATGGTATCATTTGATTCAGAAAATGATGATGCAGAATCTGAAAATGCAATGATATACAGGGTGTTCCATTTGAAATTCGAAAGTTATTACCACTTCCGGTGGGACACCCTGTATAATCGAAATTAGTTTCCTGGTATGCGCCTTATGATACAATTGAAGTCTTTGAAATATCAAAATCCTAACGCAACTGATAATTGAGCTATATATAGAAGACGGGAGATGAGATGCAGGATCCTGTATAAACTATACTCTCGCTTCTTATATAGGGTATAAAATATATTTGAATAAGCATCACATCATTCATTAAAGACGATTTGACTTACTGACCTGCATATAATAAAAAAATTAAGCATCAACCCTATGAAAACTGAATGACAAATGAAAGGTACTTCCTGAAATCAGTTTATCACCCTTGGTATTACCGAATGTGAATATGTATATTCAATGCATTCAATGCAAACAGTCTGAATTCAGAGAAAAAAGTCTGAATTCAGAGAAAAAAGTCTAAATTCATAAAAAAAAGTCTGAATTCAGAGAAAAAAACTCTGAATTCGGACTTTAAAGTCTGAATAAAGAAATAAAATAAAATACACACAACAGTGACCTTTCTACGCTTTCGTACCATGACGATCGTTGCCAATGCAATAGTTTTTCCATAACTGATCTCAGCCAAACTAAACCCGATACAACTGGGCATTTGGGCAACCCATAGAAATTATATATAATTTCTATGGGGCAACCACGCATTTCCTCACCACGAGAATCGGGTTTTTGTTTACTCGTTACCATGGCAACAGATTTCTCATCTAGGGCTGGGCGATATTGGATTTCACATATCGATTATCGATAAGTCAAAACATCGATAAGTTCGATATATCGATATATTGAAATATTGGTACATTGATAACCAGCGATATATCAATAACTATCAATTTTGTCTCAAAATATCGGTAAAAATAAACTCATCTTAATTTTGTGGCTCTTAGAAGCTTTCGTGATATCCAGACAAAAGTTATAATGCCGTACAGCAACACAATTTCGTGAACAATAAAACGATAGAACTATCTCGAGTATTCAGAACATCGTGACTATGTTGAGAAAAAATTGAGTTATCGATATATCGATAACTTCATAATCCTTATTAATCGATATTTCGATAGTTGCTGATACATCGATATTTGCGAAATTATATATTGTTATTCGATATATCGATTTTATCGATATATCGATTTTTTTCCCAGGCCTAATCCCATTTATTGTGTCCTACAGGAAGGAAGCATTGGATCTCATCTAGTCATACGGCCGCTGCCCTCCCGCTTGAGGGGATCCGTCATACCGTCGAAAAACAAAAACGATTCCGATCTCGAAACGATCAACGATGACGAGATGTTCCTGGATCAGGACGGAGAATTGAGCGCAGAAGTGGCAATCGATACAGGTTTGCCGATAAACCGGAAGAAAAATGTGCATCACCATATTGTGTTCAAGAGGAAACAGGAGGAAGACGTCACTATGAGCGATTATGGTGAGTTAATACGAAAAATAACAGAACAAGGTATCAACTACCAAAGTACGAAAAAGTCAAAATGCTCAAAGTGAAATGAAAATAAATACACAAAGCTCAACGTCATTTCAACAAAAGTTCATAAATGAACGAAACCTCTGTACTGATGAGAGCCAAAAGCTCGAAACTGGTATGTAGGTCTGTAGCATTCAGGAAGGAAGAAGGAATCACTTGCGATCTTATACGTCTATACTAATCGTTGCATCTATTTCGGGAGGATGGAATTTAATGTTCTGTGTGGCATTTAGCCAAGAAAGTACTTGTTTTTCTCTCGTTATCTATCAGTTTCTTTCATTTATGATCTTTTATGGAAATGACTTTGAGCTTTGTGTATTTATTGAACATTTCATTCCACTTTGAGCATTTTGGCTTTCTCGTAGTTGAAACTACGCCGGTCGGGCAATCAGCCACTTCCATTCTATTCGAAATGAGAATTTGTTTTGGAGTGTTTCTTTCCTTCTACTCAGGTGGCGTTCGTGTCCATCTCGCAGATACCGAACGCTTCATGGGTATTGAATGCTGGGATGTGTTTGTTTACGTTGGGTCAGGTTCGCAAAAGATGGCGGTCATGAATGCCATCTGGGACAACACTGCACTGATGAGATCCAAAAGCTCGAACGCGGTCTGCAGGTAGTCAAGCGTTCCTGAACAATTTAGGCACCTTTCAGCATTCAAGAAGGAATCATCTTATTTGTCTATACGAATGGTTGTATAGATTTCGGGAGGATGCAATTGAATGTTCTGCGTGGCCTATAGCCAGGAAAGTTAACTACGAAACACTAATTTCGTCACACCCTAAAATTTAACCCCTGTTAATAGTATATTATGTAACAAGTGTTATAAACGTCCTTTTAGTATCGAGTAGTTTGAGCACGAGCGGAGCATAGCGGAACGAGTGTTTAATAAACGAGTGTCTAGAAGAGTTTATAAACGCGTTACATACTATGATTTTTCTACGAACTCCGAAAATAACATTAACATACCTGCAATTCCTGCTAACCTACAAAATAATTCGAATGGAATGGGAATTGAGAACATATAATACATGCAACTGCATGCAACCAGCGAGACACGTATAAGTGATATTGGTTGTAGATGTGTCCAGTCCATTGCTTACTAACCTTTGTTTCACGTTTATTGTCATGCTTAGCGCAGAATAAATAAATTGTTCTCAAAGATGGATGCTTCATTTTCACACTTCTTGGAGATATGCAAGTACCAGAACATTCTCTTCGATTTCACTCTCGTCTACTTTTCGCATATATTTTTAATGAAGAATCCTGATACAAACGAATATTGTTTGAATAATTCTGCTACAAAATTCGAAAATAACAGTTGACAGTTGATACAATTGACAGACCAGACATGTCTCAAATTACTGAAGCTGTGTTTAAAGAACTGTGTTGCCATGGTAATGTTTTTAAAAAATCGTGTTGCCATGGTAACGTGTTTAATATTTTGAATAAATCACAGATCGACAATCCTTGATAAATCGATCATTTAGCGTGGTACATATCCGTACGCTAAATGCCATTTTAGTTATGTGAGTAGAAAAAAAATTATAACTTTTTTCTGCTTCGAACAATTCGAATTCGGATCACATTGTTCGCTAGCCCAGTCATTCAGATATTATTTTGTACTAACCTTGTACTATTTTGAAACATAAGGTACTTCACATAAAATTGGTACAAGGTGTTACCTGAAACTGTGCAAAATTTCGGAATTTTCAAAGGATCCCAAATGAAGAAAAAATTTCTTCTTCGACTTTGACAGCAGAGGTATTACGATGGCCTCATTATCTTTTTCGAATCGTCTTCTGATTTCTTTCACAGAGTGGTCTCAAAAACATAACATTTCGGTTTTGCAGTCATAAATGTTTTACTTATCAACCGATTTCTCGAATTCCTGAATTTGTAGCTGAAACTTCAGATGGAAGAATATGTACAGGGTGGCCCATTTTACTGTGAGGAAGTGAAATAACGGCTTCGCTGTTCAAGATAGATAACCAAAAATGTCTGTGATGGTCTAAGCTCATGAGTAGCACATTTCTGAAATATCTGAAATATCGATGTATACAAAGTATACAATACCACCCTCTTATCGCACTCATACATTTTTTATGTACTTTTGTAATATTAGATCGTATATAAGTACTGATTTTTCAGCTTTCATGGAACCAGATCACTTAGCGAAAAGATATAAAAGAAGTGCACAAGCCTTAGAAAAGTCACGGAACAAACGAGAAGCTCCATACACAATTTATCCGGAAATTTTGGTTATTGTCGATTATGATGGATACCGATTACATGGTGGTGACAACATCCAAATAAAGAGATATTTTGTATCTTTCTGGAACGGAGTTGATCTAAGGTATAAACTACTGAAAGGACCCAAGATCAGGATATCGATTGCTGGTATTATCATTAGTAGAGTAAGTAAATCAATTGACTTTATCTGAGAAAATAATATATTTCGAAATGATTAACTCTAAATACTAACTTATATATAGCTACAGCTTCTCAATAGAAAACCCAACATCTTCATCAGTTTCCACTCCAATATCTTCAAACAACTGTTTTTTTGTTTTGGGATAATTTTCCAAAATAGAGTTTAATATATCCATGCACATGCGCTTGCGTTTTTTGTAGTGACTCAAATATTTTTCAAACTCCTTTTCCACTTCCAACTTCTTCGTGGGGGAAATAGTTTGGGTTCCATGATATTTCAACAGTTGTTGCTTGATTGATTCTAGTTCACTATCAAGCTCCACGTTCTGTTGAATAGCTTCAGTCAATGTCATTTTCCCTTTCATATTTTTAACTAACTGCGATTTGCTCTTGAGTTTTTCGTTAACTTCGTTCATCTTCAATGTTATATCATTGACTTGTCTATCCATTTCCAGCAGTTGTTCCCGCAATTTACTTCCAGATGCATCATGTTTCTGTATTATACAATATACCTGAAACAGACAAATACGCAGTTCCAAAAAAAGTGAAGCATTTGATATTTGACCTATCTTCTTAAAAAAAAAAATAGTGGGCCGATTTTTATTTTTTTTTATTTGTTGGTAGGTAATGCATTTGTCTTTAAAAAAATAAAGAGGTGAAAATTTCTTCAAAGCCTCCTTGATGGTGGTGTAATAACTCGAACCATGATTTATTCTTAATTTTTGACTCGCCCTGTGTGTTAATTGAGTAATGGTATATACAAAGTGCTTGCACCCTATACGAAAGAGGCTTTTTTTGCGAGCATCTTGTTTTTATTCATTGATTTATCTCTAAAATTTTCCGAATTACAGTTTTTTGCTGATACCTTACGCTTATCCCACAAATTCAATTTATTGAAGGATCAGAGTACTCAAAATTGATTGGGTTGTACTCTGGTAGGATCACATTGTCTTCAAAAAAACAAATGCCGTTGCCATAGCAACTAATTTGTTGTATGCCTCTATATTTGACCATTTGTCGTTGTGTCATTAATTAAGTGTCTTGTTTTATTGACTAAAATTACATAAAATGTCTCAAATGAATCCTGAACAATAAGTAGCAAGATTAGTTGCGTTAGTAAACGATGGGCGTAGTAAACGTTACGCCGCCCGAGCAGTGGGAGTTCATGAAGCAACTGCTCGTAGAGCAATCCGCAAGTACGAACAAACAGGAAGCACCGCTCGGAGGGTCGGTTCTGGTCCCCCCGAAAAACTTCTCCAAGAGATGATCGCTTCTTGAGATAGCGGATTTTACGGAATCGATCAAATACTGCGGTAAATGTTCAGAAAGATCTTCGCCAAATTCGTGATGTTGCAGTAAGTAAGCAGACGGTATGTAGACGTATAAAAGAAGTTAATTTAAAAGCTAGAAGACCTGCAAAAGGACCCAAATTATTGCCCGAACATCGTGCTGCTAGAAGAAATTTTGTTGAAAATTATGGACAGTGGAATATTCCTGAATGGTCGAATGTCTTGTTTACGGATGAGTCAAGGTTTTGCCTTAACATGGTAGATGGAAGAAAAAGAGTGTGGAGAAGAACTGGTGAACGGTGTAATCAAAATTTAATAACAGAATGCGAAAGTTTTAATGGTGGGTCCGTTATGGTGTGGGGAGGGATTTCAATGAATGAAAAGACACCCCTTCATGTGTTTCCGGTGAGGCAGTCGATGAATGCCCAAATTTACATTGACATTTTAGAGCAGTATGTCTTACCTTATGCAGAGTTAGTGGGCAATAATTTTATATTGATGCAGGATAATGCCCGACCACACACCGCAGCAATAGTGCGAAACTTCTTAGAAGCTACTGGTATTACCACATTAGAATGGCCTGTGAGAAGCCCCGATATGAATCCTATAGAACATTTGTGGGATGAATTAGGGAGAAGGGTACGTTCTCGCGAGAGGTCTCCGGAAAGTCTCGCAGAAATGGCAGATGCATTAGTGGAAGAATGGGATCGTATACCAATGGAAACGATAAGCAACTTAATTTCCAGTATGCCTCGTAGATTAGAAGTTCTTATAGAGTTGCTAGAGGAGGCAATACACGGTATTAAGCAGTCATCCCAATTTATAATTTTTTGTTTATTAAAAATGTTTTTTGAAATTATTGGTATCAGTTTATTTCATTAGAAAATGGTTTCTCGATAAATTCAGAAAGTTGGTAACCTGCAAGGATTCAGCAAAAAAAAAAGCTGTAATTCGGAGAATTTTAGAGATAGATCAATGAATAAAAAAACAAAATGCTCGCAAAAGAAGCCTCTCTCGTATAGGGTGCAAGCACTTCCTATGCCATTACTCAATTATCACACAGGGTGAGTCAAAAATTAAGAATAAATCATGGTTCGAGTTATTCCACCACCATCAAGGAGGCTTTGAAAAAAATTTCACCTCTTTATTTTTTTTTAAAGACAAATGCATTACCTACCAACAAATAAAAAAATAAAAATCGGCCCACTTTTTTTTTCAAGAAGATGGGTCAGATATCAAGTGCGTCACTTTTTTTGGAACTGAGTGTATTTCTATTGTTTGTGCATAATTCATTCAATGAATCATATATTCACCTTCTGCTTTCCATACACTTTTTCTTTGACTTTGTCATGCCTAACCAAGACATCTAGAGATTTCTGAACAGCTGCTTTCCCAAAATCACCAGAACCCTTAACCCCACTTTGGATATCGTTGTTGGAAAAAGGTCGATTGTGTTCTTCGAGAAATTTCAAAACAGCGTCCGCACAAGCCATGGTTGAAATCTGGAAATATTCATCATTATTTGGAAAATATTCTGCGAAACAATGGATGGCATGTAATTTTTCTAGGGTAGGGATGCAACTCCATATTTAGAGAGGAACAGAGTTGGAAGAGATGCAATAGATTCCGCAGCAGCTTTGACTGATATGGGAAAATATTTGTTTAGAGAACGAAGACTACCAGTGTACGACATTGCCGTAGCGATAACAAAGTACGTAGGTATCATTTGTTCATGAATCAAGATAATTAAATATTCAATCAAATTGAAAAAAAATAAGTCTAGGGGTTTTCACTTGAAACTCCCAGAGCTTATGACTCACAAACAGAGGCAATTGAAATGCATTCAATTGATAATTTCAAATGATTTCATTTTCACAAGAAAGAATTGGTTTATTGAGAAAGATATAGCAGAAGAATACATCACATAATAATAAAATATAAGTTCTAATAATAAAAATTATAATAAGTGGTTGTAATAATTTATTAAATTGAAAAAAAACTCAAGGTCTCACTCCGGATATATGAAATGTACCTATTGCAAATCTCGTTGCTGATGATAAGGTGAGTACTTCTTATCATGTGTTCTTGTGATCAACAGCATTGTTTTTTTTTTCTCCCTCTAACATATACGCCTTTTGATGACCCCTAGGAGTTGGAAGATTTACGTGAAATTTTAATTTTGTTTCGAGTTTTTTCTCTTGATATTCGAATTACCTCTAATTTGAACGTATGTACAGATTTATAATGGGCGAGTGGACTGAAAATGAATTATTGGCATTCAATTACTCTACAGTGTCGTTAGGAAACTAAATTAATTTTTGCAACACTCCTCACACATTTTTATGTAAATTATGAGTCTTTACGTTGTTCGAAATTGTTGAATTTCAGAGCTCATTTCAAACAAACCTTCATGGCCGCCATTTGGCGATACGTCGAATAAATGATGACGTCTGTTTTTATGCTTTTTCAAGTCACCAATAAACAAGCTAGCAAAAAGAACTTAGAGTCCTGTCGTTGAATAAAACATAATAGGAGGAACCCATGATGTTCAAGATCATTCTTTACTTTTTCGAGCAACCAGCATGTCCAAATGTTTCTTATTCTCCATAACAAAATAGCATGTGAATGTTGGAGACTTGACAACATTGTGCTGAATGCTGAGAGCTGACAAGACCACGCCCACAAGTCGTGCACCGTAGTTGTCACGTTCACCGATTCAAATGTCTACTAGTGCGAAATAAAAAAAAATATTTAGTCCACTCGCCTAAATCGGTTTGTACAAAGCGTTCACTTCCACTCAAGGAGCATTTTTTATTAGTTCATCTGTAAATTTTCTAAACGTACAATTATTCAATAGTTATATATATTAAGTGTATCACTATTTTATTAAATCTTGCTATTTTGATAGATATGACATGTGTCGACGTAGAAAAGGTGGACGATGCACCAAAGGAACAGCTGGTAATTTTCCACAATCTAACCATATTCTGATATTAATTTTAAGTAGCGTGTATATACGATAGCTGGGAGTACCTACTAACTTGGAGCAGATTACGAGGCGCTACAAAGTTTTGGAACTATGGAACTCCTAATATTGAACTAATGGTCTAACAAAAACACAAGCATTTCCATATAAATGTGATGGTGGGATGGTCGATGTTGGTCTCGCGAGGCGTCACTAGTGTGCTCGGGGGCCATCTTAAGCACAATTTAGGGAATATCTTTCCTAAACTGTGTCTCAAGTGATATGAGAATAATGCATAATAACTATACAGGGTGTCCAGGAAAATGTGTGAATATAATCTATTTAATAAATATTAAGAAAAGATAAAGATAAGATGAAATAATCTAATAAAAATGTTTTCTACATGCACTCCTTAAGAAGACAAGAGCGACTCCTAATGGAAACTGGAAATCGTATTTTCTTGAATGACTCTTGAAGTCTTGAAGTACCTATAATTGATATAATTCAATGAAAATCCTCCTCTCCTCCTTAAGAGTTTCCTTGAAACATCTATCTTTCTTTCTCACTTTATCAGGGGTTGACTTAAGTTTTATGTTTGAGACTCAAATTTTCAATAACTCGTAAGACATAGAAAGAATCAATTTGAGTGAAATAAAATGAACCATTTTAGAGGAAAATAATAAATAAAGAAATTATTTTCATCCATCTTTCCCGCTTGTGTATCAGACTTCACGGAGCCCATATATTGGACCTTCTCATGAAGTCTTCAATCAATTATGTTCAATGTTCATTAGGAAATGTGATCGCCTTGCAAAAAAAGGTGCAGCATCTGCACTTTTTGGTCCTGAGCCTTTTTGTGGGATAAGCAAATGTCACCTAAAGGGAGAACTCAGGAAATGGGAAGAAATTGAAAAGTCCTCCTACTGGAGAGCAACTCCAGGTCAACGACAAGCGAAAAGGTTCATCAACCATTCGCAGAACCGAGCCAAAGAGCTACTCAGCCTCAGCAAACCAGAGCTAAAGCTTATCACAGGCTTTCTCACAGGACACGGCCCTCTGAGGTACCACCTCAAAAAGATGGGCCTGGCGGAGACTGACACTTGCCGCTTTTGTAACAATGCGACCGAAACCGCGGAACACATACTTTGCTCATGTGAAGTATTAGTCCGCCAAAGGCTGAACCACCTAGAACAGGTCTATCTCACCCCTGCTGAAGTGGAAAATTCAACCGTCAGAAAAATCGTAGGCTTCATCAGAAGTCTAGGGTTAGAGGACCAAAACTAGATAGGGGTAATCACAATAGATCTTTTAGGTCGCAGTGATCGAGAGGTCTCCCAGCCTATACGACCCATTTACAATCTACAATATCTACAATGTGATGTCTCATGGGGTAATTCGAGCTTCACACACCTACAAAGAGTGTTTACACTACAAAAAGTGGTTGTAGGAAGCATGGCGAAGGTTATAATTATTATACTGAACATTGCCAACCATTTTTTCAAGATTAAGGTATTATGACCTTTTATACTCACAAATTATCTATGAAAATCTCATACATGTTGAAAAAAATATATACATTCATTACATAATCACGACATTCATGATTATAAAAACAGATATGCGCATAATGTTGTACCTCATACGAAGAGATTAGGAAAGAGCAAATCCATAGGAATATGTCTTTTAAATTCTCCTCCCACAGATATCAGGAATCTGTCGTTGGATCTTTTTAAAAAAACGTTGGGACAGATTCTTGTCGGAATGAGTCTCTACAAAATCAACCACTCCAGTGAGTTCATCAATGACTCTGCATGGTAGACAACTGGTGCTATTTTAATTTTAATCGATTTTATCACTTATATTTTTTTTACTTTTCTGTTTCTTTATATGACTCGTCCATAACTTGTATACCATGAATGTGATCAAACAGCTTGTAGGTCAAAATTTCTTCAGAATTCAATAACTAACTTTGCGAATAACTGATTTCCTAGAAAATATCCAGCGGCGTTCTACTTATTCTAGAAAATGATTGTATAATACCTGTATTTTGGCACCTATGAATTTCTGTAACCATTTCTGACTTTTGATAAAGACGCGAGTTTGAATAGAAAGACAGTATGGCGGCGAATTTGAAAAGGATTACTTACTTGTTTTTCCATAGAATTATTATGTTATGATGGAACTCCAACGCCCTCTATTAATGTTCAAAAATATGGACCACCCTGTATAGAAACTGAAACATCTCGGAAAAATGTGGAAATGATTGTGTGATCGACTAATAAACAAGTTAATTCCAAACAGGGACAACACAGACAACATTTGATCAAGCTATTAGCATCTCATGAAATTCATGAAACTACACAAATACATCGCGTTTTTTTAATTTTTACAGACTAGACATGTGCAGGAGATCATACCCCAATGATGTTTGCAATCGCGGCACTGCAGGTACGACTGGGGCAAAATTTTTAATTCAGCACGTTTTCTCGTACATAAAATATATATATATAAAATAGGTACCTCTGATTTGAACGATTCTTTCCTGAACACTGTAGTTTCTCTTTTCATCTTTTTCACGAGACGAAAGCACGGCCTACTCTCGCTCTTATCACTGTACCTTCATTTCGACTTACCACCAGTTCTCCTCGCCCATTTTCCCGAAAAATTATTCATCCACCTCGAAGAATATACCTTAAAACCTGTCATCCGTTACACTTGAATGATTTACTAGAATCCATAAAATGTAAATAAATAAATGAATAAGTGAATCAAATACACCTCCATTTATCTGTCCACAGCTTGAAATACACAATCACTTATGCTTACTTACTAAAATATAGCTTACTTATACTGATATACTGAATACTGATCAGTTTTTCTTATAATCTGCTTTGGAAGGATCCCCAATGATAATGGGCCTTTCCAGTACCTATCGTAAAATTTGACCCTATTTTGCTATAATGTTATGAAGGGAAGTTTAAATCGTTTTCCTGAACACATATTCGAACGACAAATGAATTATCTAATATTGAAAATGCTATTTCAATGCCTGTGAATTCAAACGCTACTGAGCTGTGATGTCAGTGTCTTCTTGCAATTTGATTGGTTGGATTTCTGACAGCTGGGAATCACTCCGCTGTTGCCAGATCTCTATAAAATCCTTGAATTGATCCTATGTGCAAGACGATGTAATTGATTAATAGGTGATTAGTTGATTGGTAATTCACTGCTGATCACATTTAATTCACTCTAAGCTCCAAAGTATTCCATTAGTTTCAAGATTAGCTAGATTAAACTGTAATGCAGGCATCTAACAGTAAGGACCTTTTTATATACTTAGTTGGTTAGTTGACTACATTGTTATAAACAATAAATTGAACATTGTTACTGTATATTATGTCAAGCACTCATTCCCGGAAAATTCAATTGCTACTCTGGCAACTATGTCTACAAGAGAAGGAGATGAAGCAACTGGTGCTAAAACAATGTTGCCAAGTTAAATACCTCATTCACTGTTCTTATTTTTCAATATAATTGACAGGAAGACAGTGATGCTTGTGCTGAAAATCGATAGGAGTAGAGCCAAGTAAGCAATTTAGTATTGATTGATTCAGAATTTGGAAGGGTTTTGAAACTGCGAATGTCACGAATACCTGCACTGAAATGTCTCTTATAATTTTGAATAATTCTCCAACAGAAATCAACCAACTAACTAATCATCAATAATGAATCAATGCAAATTTAAAACCACGAAATTTTCAGGTGAGTAGTTATAAGTTGAGTTATCTAACAGCATCCGTAATATTTGCCAAAATGAAAAAATCGACGCATGAATTAATATCCGACTGATCATAGCTTTGTCAAAATAGGCAACATTGTCAAGTCCATCTTGCATTTTGTTGGCACCCGCAAGGTCAGGGAATTACCAATCCAATTTACTCGCGCATTGACGTAACACCTTTCGCGGCCATTACTGATCATTTGAATTCGCTCATACATTTTGGCGTTTTCAATAAATTTTTATACGATAAATTGATGGGGAAAAAATCTCAAAAAATCTATTTAAGGTATTCCAGAGCCATATATTTCAAGATATATTTTTTCCAGAAATGACTGGAAAGGCCCATCAAAAGTTTCGTGACACCATTCCTATGCAAATGACGTTGCCTACTCTATCATAATATGCAATTAACCAACCAACCAAATGCGGAAATTTGTATACCGGGTGACACGTTATAAAATACCACCCCCGATAACTTTTATTTTTGACAGTATGTACAGGGTGATTGTTTATATTTTACTCAACAGCTATCTCACTTAATATTGGTCTTACAGAAACGTTCAAATGGGCAGAAATTGAGTAGTTTTGATGGGCATTCAGAATCTACTACTATGAAATGCAAAAAAAGCTTCGTAAACCTGAAAATTTTACAATAACTGGTATTTTTCAAATGAAACACCCTGTATTTTATTTTCCTAATCGATACACTGTGCCCAAGATAAGGAGGGCCAGTATGGGCCAGTATTGGCAACAGATTTTGTTAGATGGGAGAAAAGTTGCACGAGTGAAGCACCAACAAAATTATTAGTAGAAGATATAAGACGAAACGAAATCAAAGAATGAATACAAGAACAAAAGTATTTGGGGGGATATTACATTTCGAAGTTTACCTGGAATGTTTGTGATTCATTGATAAGAGTTAAACAGCCAAACCCGAGCGTTTGCTTTCATCGAGCTCAGAAGCACCGCAAGTATCAATGATTTTTGCAATGTTGATTGACATTGATTAACATGAATTAATACCTAACTAAAATATAAGTTATAAGTAAGTACCCAATGTGACTCACTTAACAAATTATTATAATAACATATAAGTAAGAAGAGTAGAAACAAGGCCTTAGACAACTTCACTTCGTTACAATTTGTGTTGACATGCATCATGTCAACAGAGAGGACATCCTTTTCAGGTCCTTGCAGTTAAAGTTCAACTTTAGCTCCTTGGGACTAAAAGTGTTGCCTAGCAACATAGGTACCTATTTTTGTAATAGGAACGTCAACTTCGAGAGCTAATTTTGGAGTTAAAATGGACGACTTGAATCGGTTGCAGAAAATGGTATTTCTTGCTACCGGTGGAAAAGTCGCAGAATTGTTAAACTTGATTGATACAGGAATTGTAATTTTGTTTGAAATTCAAAGGAAGGAGTTTATGAATTAGTTGAGGGTTAGGATTATTATCACCTATTATATTCTTTTGTGGAAGTTAAATTCGAAATACTATACCTTTCACTCATTATAAGACATAATCAGAATGTAAAAAATGCCATAGGGCATAGATCAACGACTCCGGTAATCTATGCATGAGGTTCGAAGTAATTTTTACCTATCTCCCCTACTCAAGGAAAGAGGAATGAGCACATGTTGTTTCTCGCCTCAACGTGAAAGAGTCATAAAAATCACCTTTTTATTTATTTTGTATTTTTCATATTTCTTATATCTATTTGTTGTACTATACTTTAAAAAATTTGTGATATGAGTTTCCGTTCTTGAGTTATTTCCAAAATACAGAATTTTGGGATTTTCAATTTTATTTTTTTCTGGCCTTAATAACGAAGTTATGACAAAACTGAAAACACGTCTTTATGGCAACTTTTGATCCTTTTGAATTTTGCATCATCGATTCTTTGATTCAACGTTTCGTCTTAGGATAACCATCATCAACTTCATTTTTTCAAATACGGCCCTGATACGTCTACACATCCCGCAACATAATATGTAGATCTAGGTAGTAAACAATGGAGAAGGTATAATACTATACTCAGCTATGATATTTCCACTAATCACAAACATTATCTTCTGCAGCTTTTGGTTATTGGTGAAGGAGGCTTTCAGATGGTGAGGGATTACATAAAATACGATAATATTTATTGTTCACAACACCAAATAATTTGTCAGGATTCGCCTATGTGGGAGGAGCTTGTGTGGTCAACAAACGACTGGAAAAGGTCAATTCCGTGGCGATCATTGAAGACACCGGAGGATTCAGTGGTATAATCGTAGCTGCCCATGAAGTTGGCCATTTGTAAGATTTAGTTTTGTGCCATGAATTTTTCATATATAATCCGATCACTATTCCATCTTTACGGACGTTTATAAGATGTTTATTTCCACCACTAGCTATAAAACCTACCATTACTTACTCCTTTTCGAGGCGTAAGTGTGTCTTTACTACTACTAAGGTAGTTTTCGACATTGTATGAACCACTAGTCAATAAAGACATAGCCACCTTTGATATAATTAACCCGAATACACTGTTCTGATGTGATATTCGTAGCGATGGACCTTGCATCTGGTAGGTAAATTTTTAATTGGAATTGAAAAGAAGTACTTTCATAGTGACAATAGGTTCATATTTCAGTTTCACAGAACTAAAATGATTGAAATGTATTGCTAGTGGTGAAAAAAAGGTGATATACCTACACCTTAGTAGGCTGAAGCCTCGGGATATAATATTGGTCCCTGGGTAATACTGATAGTCTTTACTACCTTGGTGTATAAATAACTATTTTTTGCAATAAAAAATGGTTATTAATTCTGCCATGAAAGAATTGAGTTTAAAGTATAATTTCAATGGATGCTTAGTCACGCACCGCACCGTACATACATTAGACAGATTTTGATCATTTTCATGTCTCCTCCGTAACTTCTTTATTTATGAAAATATTCAAATAGGAATTTCACATTCTCATGGCAGTTTTTCAAAGTGATTTCGAAAAAAATATGAAATTTATACCAACTCTTCTAGAATTTGAGATATCAGCACCAACTTCAGTTTTTCAAATGTAGGTCATAGCTCACTATGACTTAGTTACAAATAACTTTTTTTTCTCTTCCAGATGATATGTCGCAGTAATAGTTTTGTGTTGATAACAACGGAGTTATCGTCATTTATATAAGAACAAAAAATTATTTGGAAGCCGCCATCTTGAATTTATAAATTTTAACAAAAAAATCATGATCTCCGACCTCAAAAACCCCCACTTATCAATTTTGAATGGAATCGGACCAAATCTTGTCCGCCATCTTGGAGCAGCCATTTTTTTTAATTTCAACAAAAATTCTATGATTTGATTCTCGAAAATTGCGAATTTAGTGGTTGTTCTTTCTCGATTTCTTTGAGATTTGTTTGAAGTGATTTTGATGATTTTGCATACTTCAAAATTGCAATTCGACTTGAAATCTTGTGCTTCTTCACAAAAATATTTGTATAATTCATTTGAACTGCTCAACGCTAGAATCGTACAATTGCAAATGTTCGATTAAATTTTAAACTAAGCCACTTCGAATATTAGTAAGTTTCGTGGTTGCGTCTAATCAGTCAACGCCCTAGAGGCTCCTGAACTCAGGAGTTGGGGATTTTTTCAATTATATTGAGACACCTTGTATAATGATATCATTTTAGATACGTTTTCACAAGGACATCTACTCAACGCTTCCATTTCAGTGTCTTTGTTTCCATGGTTAGTTTTCGTATTCACAATTAAAAACAAATAATCTATTAAAATAATTAAAATTTGTTACTATTTGACATATTAAAAACGTTGCCATGGTTTCCCTTAATTGAAAACTGTTGTTTTGATTGTTTGATGGTTCTGACAAATATAAGATGGCTTGCGACTATTAACCTCGAGTTTTTTTTTTTCGATATTGAAAAATATTCCCGAGGTTGAAAATTATATCGATATCTTGTATAATATCAGCATTATGCGATTATGGTACGCAGCAAATTAGGCCTCTACTCAATATTACCTCAAGACATATCTCAAGTTTTTCGCAAATATCTCTACATTTAGGCATGCAGAATGTTATTACTTTTAGGTTGAGTATTGATAATCCTAATTGATGTCATTCACTAATTTGATAATTCATCTGTCTGAGAAAAAATTTTAAGGAAAATATGGCGACATCTCGGGCGACATGCGATCCTTACTACCCCACTGGTTGACGAAATTCATAAATGAAAACTCCCTGTGATTATACTCTCATTAATCTGGATTGGTATACCGAGTTTGAGTTTATTTGCTACAGGGGTTCTGCAGGAATTTAGAGAAATCTCAACTTTTTTCGTATATTCAACACACTGTGTATCTCAGTTCATATCCTTCTCGTAATATTTTTAAACCACACTTGTAGTGGAAATTGTTCAAAAGGATCCTAATTCCAATTTAGTGCAATGGTTTCAATTAAAAAAGAAACAAAACCCCCTGAATTTTTTTCTGAGGCGCCCATGACTATTGCATAATTTCCTAGTAATCATATTTTTTTTGTGACGGAAAAAAAGTTTCCCATTTCATCTCTGTTGGTTATAAAATGTCACTTTTCATAAATTACTTTTTTTCCGTGGGAAAAAAGTGAGTACTTTTTTCCCGGATATATGACATATGTATACAGTGTTGATGGCTTTTGTTGTGCTATAGTTCCGAAAAATGAGTCAATAATACCGTCTCCGAGGTCCGAGAAAGAACTGCAAGTCATTTTATCTTCCATTCGACTTCGCAATTACGTATAATTCTAAACAACCACTAAACTAGCAATTTTTTGAAATCAAATCACAGGATTAGACTGACAGAAGTGACATCAGATATTTGATTACAACGCAGGTGTCCCTACTGTTAAAAGCTTAAAATTTCACGTCGATAATTTTCAGATTTCAAAATAATGTAATATCTTCTCAATATTGATTCGAATAGTGTATTATACACGGGAAAATATTAAATTTTAGCTCACGGTTTTTTGTCTGCCTCCGCTACGCGTCGGGAGACAACACAACTTGGAGCTAAAATCTACTACATTTTTCCCTTGTATAATAAATAACTATTTACGAACGAAAAGCCGACTATTTTCGAAGGCAAGTACTTTTTGTTCACAGACACTAACTTTTCGTCCGCAAACACTTTTCGTATGCTGCAGGGTTGCCAGTTCTTCTGAATTTTCAGTAGATCTCCTGATTTGCATAATGATCTACTGATCAACTGTAACATTTCATAACCTACTGAAAAATATTTTGACACTTATTTATTATTATAATTAATCTTTAGTTAATCACATACACTCATAAATTGCATGATATTTCGGCACGCTCTGTTTGAATTAATTTTACAAAATAAGTAATAAATCCACAAACAGAGAAGTGCACAAAAAACGGCCAGGACTGTACCTTTTGAATTATTTGAGATAGGGTTTTGAAAATTGGTGGGCAGCTAGTATACCGGGTGACACAGGCTATCGGGCCACCCCTGTAACTTCTGCATTCGTCAACGGATTTTTCTGAAATTCGGTACAGTTATATAAGCAACTATTTCGGATTTGATCACATTACAATCCAATATGGCGGACATCCGGTTTTTCTGGAAATGCCAGCAATTTTGTTTTTTCAAATGGAACACCCTGTATATTTTTACATATTCAAGTTCAACAGGTTAAAATAAGTGCAATCTTGATGTCAAAGCTATACAAAAGTAGACCAAAGTGTTTACACCGTTTTGGTCATAATACTATTTTAGTCTGGTACGCAACGAGTTTCGGTACCAATAAACCAAGCTGGAAACTTTACCAAGTCTACATTTTATACCACACTAACCAAGAGTATTTAGTTGAAATATAATCATTACTCAGCTTACCAAGACACGGTATAAACGTGGCCATAGTTTTGACTTCATAGGTTTATTTCATTATCCTCTCTTGGAATTCGCATAGCACAAAATAGATCTTACACAGTTCTATTGAATTCTATTGAATTTTTGACAAGGTATTTACTGATGGAATAAAAATCGAACTGGCAACCCTGGTCCGCGCGGAGAGTGAGTTGACAACAACTGTCATTTGCTGTTGTAAAATTAATTATTCACGAAATCCGATAGATTTCACGTGTGAATAGGACCCTGATGTGAATATAAGTGTTTGAAGTCGACAAAAAAATGTAATATGCACCTCGGCGAAAAACTGTCTATTGTCTCGCCACTCTCGCCTGATTGCTAGCCTCGGCTATCAATTTGCAGACTCGACTATAATAGACAGTGTTTTGTCCTTGGTACATAAATAACTAAAGAACTCAAAGAAACAAGATTTTCAATCGGAATGCAGTGCTCGGAAGATGCAATCTTTTTGTTCAAGATTCCTTTTTCAGAACTCGTCGGGAATGTTTCTGTCATTATACACCAAGTGTTCGAAAAGAGTATTACACAAATGAAAAAAATCAAACGCTTCCGTATTCCAGGGAATTTTTTTTATTTTTCTATTAAGCATTTTTTCCGAACGTTTAAGCCAATATCTCGAAACGGTTTTGTAATTTTCCATATTCCTCATACAGGATGTTAAAAATCGATGATTTTTCATTTTTAGGTTTTTATCGCATCATTTCCGATTTTAAAATTATGCAAGCCACATTCAACGTATTTTGCCACTCTATACGATGGAACACATCCTAGAAAATGGATTCATATTGCGTTGAAATCATCGACAACTTTAACAGAAGAAGAATTAATGTTTTTGGAGAAATGTTCAGAATTAGGTGAAATCGTCTCAGTTTGGTGCTGCCATAACCATAAGCTATGCTAAACACAAATCCTTCATTCGGATCGATTGGTCTGCTCAGTATCTAGAATTGATTTCGTGATTTTTCAGATAAGGCAATCCAAGAGGGCGCAAGGAGGCCCTTCTGGATTTTTCTGAACAATTCATACAATAACGATGCTATAATGGTATCAAGATATTCCTGAGCTGACATGGAGTCAAGAAACCTATTTATCACAAGGTTCTTCATCGCGTTATCGAAAATCTATCGGAAAAGTCGATTCCTTTATCAATCATTTACGCAATTAATACCACTGCAACACACTATGGCTATATTCCGAATTCAACTGGTCAGTACTGTCAGTAGATCCACTGAATTTGCTGAAAATTTGTGTTCCGAACTATAAAATCAAAAATACAGTGCTTGTAATTCGGGACACGTTTTCATGGTTTTCATCAGTAGTCAGCAGCAGTTGATCAGCTGGTGAAATTTGTCAGTCTGTAGTTTCTCGTTTATCTGAACTAGATATCAAATATTCAATATTCAACATGGAAGAGCAATCGATTCTTGTATCCTCCATAGTTTCCACGATTATTGACGATGACGATTCAGGCTCGAGTGATAAAGAATACTTGGACATTTTGTTGCCATTTCTCATGATGCACCAGATTGAGAATTGAAAGATTTATAGAAAATGTAATGATGATGAATTTAGGAGACATGTCAGGTTTGTTTACTTATTTATTTAGCCAATGCTGCTTCTTCTTTTCTTACCTCTACTACTTCATACTGGATATTATTCTCAGCGCTTATTATTTCAATAACAGGTATTTTCTGATATTGAGAATTAACGGAAAAGAATGTTACATTCCCTCCCCCCCCCCTAAAATAATGACAGTTCACTGAAGCCACACTACCTTCTGATACTCAGCAATTTCAGCAGAATGTTGAGTCAAATTATTTGGAATGAATAGTATGTCTGCTCACAAGCTTCTGTCACTTTCAGTGAATTTTTTGATTTCGGAATGAATAATCTGCAGATTCAGTACTGTCAGTTGAATTCGGAATATAGCCAATATAATGCCTCCTGTCGAACCTTAAACAACTGTCATCATCCGTTCGACAGGAGGCATTATATTGGGTGTTGCAGTGGTATTAATTATTGCGTAAATGAGTATGTTGATTACAAGAAATCGACATTTTCGATTGATTTCCGATTACACGATGAAAGACCTTGTGATAAATAGGTTTCTTGACTTCAAGTCAGCTCCGGAATATCTTAAAAATATTGCAGCATCGTCATTGTATGAATTGGTCAGAAAAATCCAGAAGGGCCTCCTTGCGCCCCCTTGGATTGCCTTATCTGAAAAATCACGAAATCAATTCGAGATATCGAGCACAGCAATCGATCCAAATAAAAGATTTGTGTTTTGCATAGCATATGGTTATGGCAGTACCAAACTGAACAGACGATTTCATCAAATTCTGAACATTTCTCAAAAAAAGTTCATTCTTCTTCTGTTAAAGTTGTCGATGATTTCAACGCAATATGAATCCAATTTCTAGGATGTGTTCTATAGAGTGGCAAAATACGTTGAATGTGGCTTGCATAATTTTAAAATCAGAAATGCTGTGATGAAAACCTAAAAATGAAAAATTATCGATTTTTAACATCCTGTATAAGAAATAGGGAAAATTACAAAACCGTTTCGAGATATTGGCTTGAACGTTCGAAAAAAATGACCAATAGAAAAATAAAAAAACATCCCTGAAATACGGGAGCGTTTGAATTCTCTCATTTTTGACTTCCGACGAGTTTTGAACAAGGAATCTTGAACAGAAAGATCGCATCTTCCAAACACTGCATTCCGATTGAAAATCTATTAATTTTTCAAAAAGTTATGGCAGTTTGAAAATTGTCGAAAATTTCAGTGCTCACTTGTTTCTTTGAGCACTTTATTTTGAGATTACATTATGCTATTATAAATATAGGTTAGGTGCTGTTCACGACGGTAGCCCCCCACCATCATATCTGGGAGGCCCAGGGGCAGAAAAATGCCAATGGACTGACGGTTTCATCATGTCTGATCTCAGACATACAGAAAGGGGATTCAGGTGGTCTTCTTGCAGTGTGTCCAGTTTCCACCATTTTTTGAAGTAAGATAAGTAGAGTGACTTTTGTCCATCTTGATATATCTTCTAAAGTCAATACATCTAGGGATTACCCACCGTCTCAGGTAAATTGGTAAATCTATTGAATAGCCAATACAGGCTGATTTTAAAATAAGTGCATATATTTTAAACACTAAGAAAGCTTGAGGTATACTACCGAATAGCACTATTAAAAATATTATTAGGATCAAAATAGATTTGGGGCAAAATACCCTTTTTCCGCCCAGATTTCTACTTCTGTCACAACTATCGTTTGCGATCCGCAGTCGACCGTGATGAACGAAGCGACGTTGCCACTCTACATGAAAATTAGGAGATATTAAATAGAATGTATAATCGAGAAAATGTACATGGGAAAGAAGTTGACCCTGGTCTTGAATTTCAGAAAGATAATACAAAAAACTTTAAAATGGACTGACCCAAGATTTCTACACTTAAGCTCGAATAGCGTATAACTTAACACCTCACGGTTGGAAGTTCTTTTACTGAAAAATCCTTTAGACCCTTCCTTCCACCTCCTTGCATCGCTACAATTTCGTGTCCTTCGAGGAGTCTCATGGGCCCCGCACAATAACGACCCGACATAAGAACCATATCATTCAGCTCAATGTTTGAGAAATGCATCGTCACATTCCAAGCAAATTGTCAGAAACAAAACTTTACATTTACTAGTATCACGTTTTGACGTTTTCCAAAATAACATACATTCTCAGCACAACAAACTGTCAAGAAAGGATCTTTGTTTTGATTGTTCTTATGGTGTGCTACCAGCAAGAATTCAGATGACCATGAATTACTAATAGTCGACTTTTACGGACCAATCAGAAACAGCAAAGTAGTGCCTGCGTGGTTGCGATTCATCCTGATTGGGCACAGGTGATTGAGATTAATGTATTAGTGAGGAAGGATCATATCTTTAAATGAAACTACCATTTTCATAAAAAACTAATTTGGAAATCATCATTGAAGAGTACGTTTCACTTCGCATGTGCCCTTTTTGTAGGTAGGTACCTGTACAAGGTGTTACAAATTCGTGGCAAAGCATACATCAGAGTAGGTCAAATTAGGGCAAAGTTTGCTCAACAAAATGCTGCTTTGAAATTGGAAAAATTTCAAGTATTTCCAGAGCTATCCGGAAAGAAAGGAACATATACATAATCTTTTTATTTATTTCCCAGTTCTCAGAGATATTTCGAGATGAATGTCACTTATTCATCATTGCCACTCTTCCTCCTCTACGCAATGGAATTACCAAATTGGAAATCTGACGTTTCTTCTTCGAGCGGCCATCATCAACTTTTTTTTTTTTAAATACGGACCTGGATTTTTCATTTCCTTTTTCGATAGTTTTCGACCTCCTTGATTTGGTGCTGTACCAAAACAATTCATAAAATGTTTACTTCAGTGAAAAAAGTTTTTATAGATACTCATCTTTGTCTAACACAGCGTTTCTATATTAATTTTGTCTTTGTCTAACACATTATTTAGTTCGAAGTAATACATAACTGAATAGCTCTTATTCAAGTATTTTTGTATCCTTCGAGCATCGCGTTTTACTTCGCACATGATGTGGTAACGTAAGAAAACTGAAAAAAAGTTCCTCGCACATTGTTATCAATGCGGCAACCTTGTCATTTTTTGACGTTTGTGGAAAAATTTATTGATAGTTAATGAAAATGAAATAATATTTATGAATGATGAAAACATAATTTAATATTTGATCGAACAAATGATATCCAATATGAAAAAAATACCGAACATTTAGTTTTGTTTCATAGTAAATGCTCACAAATATTTTCGTTTGCGTTTAAGCATTTGTTTGCTTTTTCCAAAACTCTTCTCATAGACCTTTCAACAAATCGCCTTCGTAAAGTTCGAAAAACGGTTTTAATTTGCTGCCGCAGTTCTTCAATGGACTCGTTCTTGAAAACTTTGGTGATCGAGAACTGATTTTGCATGTTTTCTATTTTTCCGGAATTCCGGAAATAATTGAAATTTTTCCAATTTGAGGTTACAGAGATCCCCATGCTTAGCCACGAATTCGTAACACCCTGTATAAGCACATTGATCTCAGTTCTCAGAATTTATGTTTTTATTTCAGTTTCAATTTTAGACCAATAAAACCGTTCAAAGATGTTCCTACATGCAATTGCGAATCTGATTTAATGGAGGGACTATGTCAGTATTATATTCAACATTTAAAAAAATATATAATTGAAAGTCATATCACATGAAAATGCATGATATACAGTATAATTCGAGGTATAATTTCTATACCACCTACTGATCCAGTGATTTGCGTGTTGGATTCTCAACCTCAAAGTCATATATGGGTCCTATATACCCCCTGGACCGACAGATTTCTTTTATTTTTCATGTTCTGAAATGGTCAAAATTCAGATATCCAATAGATATCCATTGGATGTGTGATGAATATCCAGTGGACTTCCAATGTTTCATGTATGTATCATCCAATAGATATCCACTGGACATTTCTCTTGAAGAATGCTGTACCACAGAATACATAAAAATGCAATAAATGTCCATTAGTTGTTCAATGGATTTAACTTTTTTGCATATTTTGACGCACGAATGGAAATCTCTATTATGCTCGAGGAAAAGAATAACGAAGAAGCGAGGAAGAAGGTAGGTAGGTGTTGAATTTTTTTTAGCTTTTGGAGGTTTTAATTTCTTGGGTTGTTGTGGATATCTAGATATTGAAATGATTTACAGTCACTATATGATCTGATATTTTTTTATGGTGGTAGTTTCATGCAGATTCTTGGGGCAGGGGCGGACTGGACCTTTCAATCGGCCCGGGCGAATTGAACCCTACCGGCCCATCTCTTGAGAAAATTCCAAAGCTATAATATAGCAATTCATATAATTTCATTACATATTTTAGTGACATAGACAAAAACGAAAAAAAAAAAATATTACAAATTATTTTGGTTCTAATCAAACTCAAGCGAAAAAATATGTCGATAAAACATCAAATATACTGAAGAAAATTGAAATGAATAACATGAATAACATTGTATAAATGAAAAATATGAATAGATAGAATAAACGACAATTCTATGGTAGAGGAACATACTTTTTAAATAATATTAATTAGATATCGAAATTAAAAAAACTAGTGAACCTCTCATGGATCCACATTTCTCAACGAAATCGAAAATGATATCGTCGCTTCCTATTGATTGTAAAATAGTGTTTTCGCAGCTCATCAAGATGAAAGCCCCAAATGTTCTTGGCTCAGATAATTTCTCAGCCTAATCAAGATAAATTTTAATTTTGAGAAAGATTTTTCACACGAAACCTGCGATACTGAAAGGGTGAGAATAATTTCACCTGAATATGGATAGATCTCAACGTATAAATTGTATTTTTGCAAACCATCGAAGCAACAAAGTGAAAATGTATTGTGAAACTTGTGTTTTTATGAAATCAATTCCTCTTCTACTTCGAAGACATAAGTTCCACCACTCATCATATCTTCTGATAAAGTACTCGACAGGTCTTCCCACTTCGAGGTAAAATCTTTCAAGGCTTATTTCATCATTGAGTTTTCAGTCAATATTATTTGATCATCAGTGAATCTTGACGGATCAAATAGTTCAAAGTCATGAAACAATTATTTATGTTTCTTGAATCTAAATTCCAGTGCGGTGATAATATTATCAATGATTACATAAAAAGTCCCAATTTTGAATTTCTTGATGGGATTTTGAGGTGCTTCATCATCACCTTCCTCATCAAAAAAACTTTTTTTAATTCGTGTTCTTTGAAAATAAATAGTTCATTTGCTTTTTCAATGAATTTATGTGTATCAATCAAAATGACATCATATTCTCGCTATATTTTTTCAAGGATTCCATGGTTTATTCGACGATTCGGTATGCTTCTAAAATATCCATTGGTACCTGATATTCGTAGTTAGCTGGTGAAATTGAAGATTTCTCTAATCAAAATTGCAGTTATAATGGTCTCATACTCCATAAAGCTGTCGAGAAGACATATATTTCTTTATTCATTCACTATTTCTACCGGCCCCAAAGGGCCCCAGCCCATCGGGCGATCGCCCGACCGCCCGGCCCCCCAGTCCGCCTCTGTCTTGGGGAATGGTAGAGATTGACAAGTCTTCAATATTGCCAAAAGATCACCTTCTTGAACAGTTTCAATCTGCATTTTCTGTTCATTGTTATAATGTGAATATTGTGCAATTCACCTTCCACCAACAGTCTTATAGGTTTGAGTATGGTCTAGTTCTTAATTGCAAAATGACATAAAAGTTACTACAAGCATTGATTATACAGTGAGGACCAAAAGTCCGTCGCCCCCCCCCTGTAACTTCTTTATTCTACATATTACAAAAAAATTTCAAATACATAAGTTGTAGGGTTTCATTCGATCTCTTTGATGGTTTAAGTTTTATTCATACAGAGTGTCTCTAAAAAGCACGGTGACTTAGAAGTTAACTTTTTTAAATGGGACACCCTGTATTTCATTGCATTATTACAAGGATGGAGAGAATCTGAACAAGTTTGATAAATGGTTTTCTATCAAAAAAATTAATAGTTTTGGACTTATGAACACTTGTAAATAATTATTTCGACTACTTTTGCGCCAGTTCAATGAGAAAATCGTAACAAATGGATCACAATGTATTCCACTTTCCTATCCTAAGTGTTCATAAGTCCAAAACTATTAACTTTTTTGATAGAAAACCATTTATCAAACTTGTTCAGAATTCAACGTAGAATGTAATAATGCAATGAAATACAGGGTGTCCCATTTAAAAAAATTAACTTCTAAGTCACCGTGCTTTTTAGAGACACTCTGTATGAATAAAACTTAAACCATCAAAGAGATCGAATGAAACCCTACAACTTCTGTATTCAACATTTTTTTGTAATATGTAGAATAAAGAAGTTACAGGGGGGGCGACGGACTTTTGGTCCTCACTGTATACACTACAAGGTAAAAGACACATACATTGAATAGGATATTTTTTTCATAATTTGCAATCTGCAATATGAATGTAGGAGTTGAATATTGACATCATTGTTTATTTGTTTCAGTGGAGATACTGCGACATGTCTTTACAATGCCCCACATGAAGATGAAAACTTACCAAGAGTTTTACCAGGAAAACTGTTGACTCTAGATGCTCAGTGTAGAAAAGATAGAGGAACAAGTGCTTGTTTTGTAAGTGTACAGTATTTTTTATGGAGAACGGAGACAGATCATTCTGAAAATTAATTATTCGAGCATTCTCTATCCGCCTAAAATATTTTCATCAATACACTGTTGCCGCTTGTAACAGAAAGAAATATAGGAACTTGGTTATTTACAATGGAATACCCTGATGTAAACAGGGTGTTCAAAATCGAGTAATCATTACCGTTAGACCGCAAGTGTGATATATTAATAAAATCAGCCCTCAGGAAGTATTTTAGGACGAAAATGTATCATTTTTTCTTATTTTTATCTGCAGAATCACCTCCCGGAGTATACGAACGTTATTCTGGTACACCCTCTGTATAAAAATTATTGCCAATCGAGTTGCCAATAATGGTTCAGAAATAATAGGTGTCTCAACTACACAAAAAAAGTCTGCTCACCCAACATGTAAATTGTAAATCATGCAAGAAATTAGGGTAAAACTGCACTTATCATGCGATGGGTTTTTTATCGAAAAATTTTTTTTGGTACTTACGTATTTTTGTCTGATAAACATCAATTTGATATTGAAAATGTGAACAAACCACTATTTATCGATATATTTCAAGAAAAAGTTCGGAATTTTGCCTTCTTTTTCCCCCTGTATTGGATGCATTGACAGCTACTTGCTCTTCTTATTTTGTCATTGGACACTATATACTCATCATGATGTACAGGGCTAGTTTTATCAATGTGAACCCCTCTTGATCTTTTTTGTTTTCCACCCATTAAAAAAATTGATGATAAAGATTTCATGCAATCATTTTTCATATAGGTTCCAATCACAGTGACAGTGTTGCAATATCTCTTCAAATATACAGGGAATTCAGAAAATATATATATTATATACTTTTTAAATGAAATGCGCTGTATATTTTGATAGACATGAATTCCTCATATCCTATTTTTGAAATCAGGATTATTTTAGGAATCCAAATCTATCAAAATATACGGCGCATTCATTGAAAAAAATATATTTTTCTCTATACCCTGTATATTTGAAGAGATATTGCACCATTATCAATATGAATGGAATCTGTATGAAAAATTGTATAAAATCAGCTTTAATTTTTTTGAATTAGTGTGAAACAAAAAAGATAAAGGGGGGTTCACATTAATAAAACTAACTCTGTACTTCAATGACACATTTTGCTGTAGAAAATTCAACACAAAATATGATTTTTATGGCGAGTTTTTCATATTAAGTGAACAATCATATCATAAATATATATTTATTATTATTATTTCACTAAATATGGATAAATTGGAAGAAAACCATATTTCTAGTTGACTCATATAATACAAAAAAATGTGATATATAAATTGTCCAATGATGAAAAAAAAATGGCAAATTGTTCTAAATGCGATCCAAAAGACAGGCGGAAAAGAAGGTGAAATTTGTAACTTCATAGTGAAATATCTTAATAAATAATGGTTTGTTCACATTTTCATTATCAAACTCGTTTTTCAGACAAAAATACGCAAGTACCAAAAAAAAAATGGGAAAAAAAACAATTGCAAGATAAGTGCAGTTTTACCGAAATTAACAATAAATATAATTATCTTACATAATATTTCGATTTTCCAGAAAGACGACAGAGTATGTGCACAGCTGTTTTGTTTCGATGCAGGCAGTGGCTACTGTGTAGCTTATAGGCCTGCTGCAGAAGGTTCACCTTGTGGAGATGGTCAAGTAAGATGAATTTTTAGATAAATATGACAATATAAAATGTACTTGAATACTATCTTTTCAGTACTGTCTGAACGGGAGATGTGTAGCGGAACATGAAAACATTATTCCAGATTATTCCCAAAATGCACCTTCGTATGTAAGAGGAAATGGAAATCCAAGACCATTGTAAGTTTATTTCATTACACAATAGGTATGGATTTATATAAAGATTTGGTGAATGATGATGGTGAATTCATGTAAATGTTGATGTTGGAGTTTTATCCTTTTATATGAACCATAATTGCTTCTAGATGACTTATTTTCACACTGAATCATAATTCCATATTCCACACAGTTTGCAGGAAAAAGAAGAAGACGTCCTAAACCAGAAGCAACGGAGTATCTATGGTTACAAAGACAATAATGCAATCTTGAATAATTACCAAAATAAGCTTTATGAAACTCAATACCAAACGTTTCTGAGTGATAATAACCAAATCCAAGACAGTCCCTATGAAACTAATCAAGTTCAAAACGAGAATGTTAACTATGATTCCATTTCTACCCAACCAACTCCATATTCCACAAAATCAAATAAAAATGTTCCTTACATATCTGGAGCAAAATCTCCTTACAATTTCCTCAACTTTGGGACAGATGCCAAATCAAGCAGTGCTAGTCCCAAATATCAATCAACTCCTCCCAATAACTACCCAACAGTTTCTAGTAATCCCTTCATAAGCAACTACTTCATTTTAAGAAGGCAAACAACAAAGAGTCCATATGACTTTGGAGATTTTGGAAAATCAACACAAAATCCATATGAGACAAACCATCAGAGTATGCATAATTATTTCAAAAGATCATATGGTACTAGTAATCAGCAGTAATATTAACAATACTTCAAATTAAAAGTGGAAGACATTCGTGATAGGGTAAGATGTAATTTCAAAATCATCTTCATGTCAGATGTCTTGCATTAACATGGGAATGTCTTGTTCTACATCTATTCTTTTTCAATCTATTTTTCTAAATAAACATATAACAATGAATGATCATTTTCTTGTCATCTTATTAAATATTCAATATAAACTATTGACGTTGCATGATTGTCTATGCACTACTACATACCTATACTCATTTTACTTTTATAAATATTTGTTCATACCTCTTTATTTAGATTTATTGTATAATCTCAGCTAATGTGATTCCCGAATTTTAATGTTTGTTAATTTTTTTCAGCTGAAACTTTAATGAAGAATATTTCTTCAAATTCACAATGGCCCTTCATCGATTCATAAAGAACGGACGATATCAGTGGTTGTGATTTTTCTAGGATTTAAGATTTTCAAGTGTACAGTTCACATAGACAATATCAAAACAAACATGTGGATCATAATTATAGGGTTATTAAATTATTTAAGTTTTTGTTGTGTGCAAAAATGATTCATGGTTTCATATTGTTTTTCATGTATATTCAGTATTTCATATAATCATCCAAATTGAAATTCAGAAAACATGCTTTAAGAAAGCTTGAAAGTACCTCTAAATATTTCATTTTTTGTCAGTATTTCATGAATATTCTGGTCAGATCAGAATAAACAGTACATTATAGCAGAAGTAATTATCAAATACCAAAAACTATATTGATTGCAATTGTTTGCATGAGAATTGATGAACAAAAAGAGTCTGCTATCTGACCCAGAAATTAGAAAATCCGTGGAAATAGAAATCATATTCTATTATATATTACTGAAATTTGGATAATAATGTGATTTTACATTATGATCTTCAAATTCATTCCTTTTGTAAATATTTCATTAGTGCTAACTGTTAAAAAATATATTGTAAACATCAAAAAAGTAAACATTTCATTATAGAAATGTCACGATTTATTGAAAAATTCATAAAAGAATTTGAATGCAAACATATCTAGTAGTTTTAATGTCCACATCATTCAATTCAAATACCTACTATTGAATACAATATGATAATTTGCATAAATATAAACTGTTTTATTTTTTTATCAATTTTACCACCTCAAATTATATTATATCATGATAATGTATAATATAAGGTAATAAATGTACAACCTGAAACAACACATTTGTAGAAAAAACAATGATTAAACTTAACAAGTTTATTATCTCCTTTCTATAAGGAAGACTTAATAATAGAAGACATAATGGTTCTCTTTCAAATATCACTGTGAACAAAAAATTATTGTTTTACATCAATTTAGAAAAATGAATTCATAAAGTGAATGTTTACAAACTATATCATTTCATAAAAGAGGAATATTATATGACCAAAAAATCATTTCATATCCCCCTAAATATTCCCAGTTTTTTTTAAAAACCAGCAAGGAATGAGTTGCTTTACTGCTTTTTTGAAATGAAGCCAATTATTTTGTGGAAAGAAGCAAATACCACCAGAATTAACTCCACAGTAACACTATGATTATTGGAATACCTATGAAAGCTAAGAATATTGGAAGAATAATTTCAGGTTGGTTCCTTCAAGTGGTTCTTGGACTTGTTATCCCAGTGGCCTTTCCTGCAATTCTCATGATCATACCAACTGACAACAAACAGACCACACCAGCAGGCATTACTTTTCCAGAATTGTAAAATCTATAACCCATTATACCAGCTAAAATTGAACTTGTTGCCAACTGAACAGAATAGTTTGCAGGATCCCTACTAACTTCCAATGCACCATATGCTAGAGCTCCTCCAAAAAGTAAACCAGCAGCCAGAGATGGTACAGAACCTAGAAAATAATTACAAATATATAATAGAGTATATACTATAGGGGAATTGGAAAGGTTCAGATGTCTGGTGTTTTAGAAGATGAGCTTATAAGACAACAGCAACTGAACAAATTGACTACTAGTGTCTAAATTTAGGTAGGAGTAGACTGTCTATTGGGAGACTTTGAAAAATTGCATAGGAAAGGTAATTATCAGTAGGATAGTATTTTCTGAAAAATGCTTGTCATGATTTATCAATGCATAGATTGCATATCAGAGATACCTACCTTCCAATTTTAATTGATGCTTTCATGTTGCATCTTGATATCAACATTATCAACAGACCAACAGAATAAGAAACACCTATTAGCTATATAAGTACCTACTAACAGAAGTATCACCAACAATAAGCAGGTACTTTATTGGTAAATGGTCAAATTCTTTAGATGACTTCAAATCAATAGAAATTATCAAAAAACTATTGGACCAATATCCAGTGAGTCCAGTGAATAGTGGAATAGGGCATGTTATAAAGATAATTCAGCCAGTTTGCCCAAGACTATAATTGCTCAAGGAATGAAGGACACTGTTACTGTAATACCACAATATAAACAGATACTGCACCAGATACTTACCAGCCTTATAATATCCGAGAACTCCTCCAGCAGCTACCATTCCAGCATATATGAATCCAGGAATATCTACAGGCATTTTATTGGAATTTGTTTTGATGAGTTTTGAAAATATATGATACTGGATATATTGGAAACTGAGCGAAACCCAGCAAAAACTATACTGGCCTTGCTCTTTGCTGTTCACTGAACACCACCACAACACTTTCTACTCTTGTTGATGTTTTCTTGGCCACTTGTTGGTAATGAATGATTCAACATTAATAACCCCCAGAAAAATGAACACGCACTACGCACGTTTGTTTGAAACGTCGACAGAACCCAAATACAAATAGATAAGAATTAATAATTATGTAGAAAAATTGGAATAAATCAAGGAAAATTAGGAAAATTCAAACCAAAATTCAAACTCACCCCAGTCGTGTCGTGAATGGTGTATAATGATCTAAGCTCATCAACTGTGTCATCACTTAGTTCACTTAGTCACTGTCAGTACTGCCACTAGTGTCACTGTCATGTGTGTCATGTGTCAACCACTGACAAAGTTTGACGTCAAACACAAACGTCTCTCGCCAGTCATTTAAATTCTTGGCCGCGCTGCGGAAAATCTCAAGGTTATCAGAGGATAATAAGGTATTCAGTGTTGCCAATAAGGTGCAAAAAGTGCAATATTTTGTGAAAAATTGTGCTCTTTTTTTTCTCTTGTAAGAGCCGCTCAAGTTAGCAATTTTCCAAAAAGACTGTAACAATGTTCAATGCGTGTCTACGTACTAGTGTCTTTTTGAACATGCGAATTCATAGCCATCTTTAATAGAGCCAGCTGTGGCAAATTTAATGTAATGTACTGTTCTTTTGACAAAATTGCCTGGCAGTGAACAAGGTTCATGAGCAAGGTTGTTCATGAGCACAATTGTCAGATAAATTTAAGTAATATTGCGCTTTTTCACATATTGCGTTTTATGTCGGCAGCATTGAGCTATTCGCTGTAGTCAAGGTCATCATCTGACGTGAAGATGACATGAAAACTACGGGAAAACATGTCTAACTCTCAATCTAAGAGCCGCCTTAGGAATGTTTCCCGTAATTTTCATGTCATCGCAACGTCAGACGCCCTCAACAGCTTTGGCAATTTTGACATAGCAACTGATGTCAAGAGCAAAAAAAAACATTACAAACGAACTGTTTTGAAAGACAAATTATATGGCCGTAGGTAATGTATAGTACGCAATGCGTGTTGTAAAGCAATAAGCAATTATGCACTCATGGAAATACACAATAGGGATATTTCATTCACATTCCCCGTAAAACACGGTAAGAGTATTCAGGTGATGGTAGTGGGAGGCAACTACGTCATACTGACGTCGACATTAACTATTTTTTTATTCCTATTTCTTTCACTTTACTCACTTCCTCAGTTTAACGTGTATCTTACTTCGACATCCACTCCATTCATTTTAATGTTTCGAATGTTCCCATCATATACTGAAATAATATTCATATTTTTATTTTATTGAAACGAGGAGAAAATCCTAAAAAATTTGGAATAATGAATATATCCTCCATTTTTCACATTCATAATTTGTAAACAAATAATCAAGTTTACCTTCAACCACCTATACCAGGTAGGGAAGGTAGTGTACAAAAACGAAAACTACGTCACGGTTAAACATAACCACAGTTTAAGGAATATACCCATTCCTTAAACTGTGACATAACGAAATGGGATTATTAGCTATAACCACAGCTCTAACCAAGGATGACGGGTAATGTGAATCAAATATCCCTAATACGCACTCACCGCTTCGCGGCTGCGTGCGTATTGCGTAAGCGTAACCTTTCCATTCGTGCGTAGGATGCTTCATTCTTCTTCTTCTTACAACATATATTACGTATTAATATTAGCATATTATTATATTAGTATGTGTATGTGATAAAGTGATAAGCCGATAAGGGCGATAAGCATCAAGCATCTCATCTCACATGTTTGTGATGTGAGATTATGCAGGATCGTTGAGTTGAATAAGGTGGATAGATATGCAATGCAGTTTTTTCACAACCATACAATGACTAAGCGATTAGTGATGGGTTGGATTGAGATGGTTGGATGATGGTGGGGAATTACAATTAGGAACAATCCATGAGTAATACGATAGTAAACTCAGTTAAACGTGACTTCTAATTTCGTAGCCGTCTCTCGAACACCGAACGATTCTTCAAACAAGACGTGATTATTATTCTCCATTATTGGGAGTGAATTCGAACCACAATTATAATATATAAATAACTAGGTATCTGTGTAGTGATTCAATCCAAGTTTTATAATGGCAAATTACAGTTTGGAGAATATGGATAAATTCATTATCAATACAGGCAATATTTTGTCCATAAAGGACATCACCAAAAAGCCCAATCAAAATTTATCTGAAGAGGTTTGTATTTCGAAAATTATATTGTTTTCTCCATATTGAGTGTCTTTCGTGGATATGGTAAATATATTCTTTGACAAGGATTCCTTTCAATGCTTCTGGCTTGAAGGGGATGGGGTGATCACCTTCTCTAACCCCCCCTATGTATCCGCCCTTGGTATTTTATTTATTATTACACACAGGATGTCATATTTGGAAAAATCCAATATTTCATCATTAAATAGACTTGGCCGTTACTTGATGGAAATCTATAGCAAATGTAAAAACATCAAAAATATTTTTCATTGTACCTACCAGTAGGTATTTCACCTGATGAAGCTACTGTGTTAGCAAAACTTGTCATGTGTTTAAGAATTTTGTGGGAATCCCATCACTTGTGAAGTTTTCACATTCCATCTTTGGCATCCCTTCATTATTTTGTGAATTATCAAAAATTGTATACCTATTCTCACATAATTACTAGCTAGGGTATCATTATGCTGCATTATGCACAATCAAACCATCATAATTAATTTCAAATAGTAAGTAGGTATTAATTTACATGTTACAAACTTTTTTGAGGATATTATCATATCATTATTCATATTGATTTTGATAATTTATATGTTACCAACTGTTTTGCTGGATCTTCTCTGTTAGCTAGGTCACTTAACTTACTTGATAAGCATATCTATGTCCGGTAGGTCCTTGTATAAGGAGAAATATGAAGAAGACCTGTATTTATCCTATAGGCTATACCAGATTAAAACCTTTTTTCTAATTCAACATTTTTGATTGCCCATGCTATTTCCAACTCATTTGACCAATCACAAGTAAAAGATAACTTGTATTATCAGGAAAACACTGTCTTTCAATTCTGATTGGTCTTATCGGCAGTGGAGTTTTCAACAATGTAACTAAGGTAGGTATATACCTTAGATGTAAACGTCGATAGTGAAACAAATTCTGTCAGTTTGACATAAAAATAATTATAGCTAATACCCCTCAGCTGAAGCCGTTATTTTTTATATGAAGTACTATTACGACATGACCTGTCCGGACACCCTGTATAATAAAAAATTACTACTAGTACTAGAATTCTCAATTATTTCATAACTCTTCTGCACCTTTTTATTATAAATCATTTTTCAGTTGGCTGATGCCATCAATTTTACTTTCAAAGAATTCCAATCTAATGGCACTTCACAACCTCAGTCTGACCAGTTATTGGTAGTGAATAGACACAATGACAACTTGAAGATAGATGAACATGATCTTGCAGACTTGAAAATTGGATTCAAAATTTTCTTGAACAAGGATAACCAAGCCTCTTTAGCTGAAGCTGTTCAACAAGGTAACAATATTCTATCTACCCAATATGTATGTCTGAATGTATGGGAAAATATTGGTCTAATATTATAATTTGATTATAATAATTTTGAGGCCAAGTAAATATTTAAATTTTTCTTCCAACTGCCAATCAGAATAATCAGATTCATGGGAAAGTTCCTTGTATGGCTGTGCCATTCCCATTTAAATAAAATATTAAAATCAATACTGTACTTTATTGAACTTACCTGAAGGGTTATTGACTCAGGTCACAGTTTAGAATCTAAGATATTTAGCCCTCAACTGTACCACAGTATATTATCCTTTCACAAGACTGTGCTGAGGTCGTAAATCAAATTTTAAATATTTTCGTCTTTTTATTTTTATATTTTTCCCGAAGCTCTTGTCAAAAATATCTAGTTAAACTAATGAAAACAGATAGGTACTAATGTACATACATACATACCCATACAGTAGGTACTTTCATAAAATACATACTGAATAAATTCATTTTTAGCCCAACTATCCTTTTCTGAGGAATCTCCTAAAACAGGTCGATTTTTAATCTCGGTTTGCCACATTTATAGGAGACAATCAAATATACAGGGTGATCCACGTTTGAGTAATGACGTCCGCGACAATTCTTTCAAATTCATTAAAACGTTACTTCTTTGAACAACATTGTCAAAATGAGCTCTTTTCTACCTTGAACGGGAGAGTCTCCTCTTCCATCTTTCTCTTCAATGCTACCAACGTGGCCGCATTGAAAGGTCCGATAAATCTTTCTCTGTCTAACATCTACTTTGTGCCACTGAACTATTTTTGAATTCAGCAGAGTGTCAAATTTAACGATATTAACAAATGATGTCAAAATAAGTATGATATAATTTGAAATTTCATCATCAGTCAATGAAGTCCTCCTGCCATAATTTTTTTCCATTTGAGAAAATTGTCAACAAGGTCATGTGATAACTCAAATGTGGATCATCCTATATATCTTCCCTTAAAAATGTGGCAAATTGAGATTAAAAATCGAATTGTTTCAGGATATTCCTTAGAAATGGATAGTTTGGCTAAAACTGAATTTAGCCAGTATTTCACAATAGTATTGTGTTGTTGTATTAGTGTTATTTCAATATATTCCTAGTAAGGACAAATCAGATGACTTTGCCGAAAATATCACTGCATTTAAAATTTTACTATCTGAAACCTAAAAGAGAAATTCAATCGATAGTCGGTGACACCTTGTTTGTTCAGACATTTTTTAGATAAAATACATTGTTTTGCTGAAGCCACAAGATTAAAATCAAAAATTAAATACTTTAACTTCTATGGATTTTTTGGATTTTGTCTTCATTTCTATGAATGAAAATATGAGTATTATTTCAATATATGTATAGGCAAGGCAAATCAGATAATTTACTCCTGATTATCACACTTTTAGAAACCTAAAAGTGAAATTCGTAGTTAAATTCAATCAAAAGATTCTTGAAAGCAAATAATGGCTAAGTAGTCACTTCATAACCAATTCGCATAAATTAAAGTTGGATGATATAAGTACCTGCTTCTAAACTTGCCTATTTAGAATTCTCAAGAGTATGTAGAAGAACCTGACGTATTATTATATAAAAAAAAACCATGAAGGTAGGTACTCTAGTATACTAATCATTTGTTTCATTTTTTTGGTAGCTTTGTCAATGTTGAATGTAGATGGAATTAATGACGTGATCATAACTTTCAAACAGCAGCATTCCGAGGACAAAAAAGATAATTTGGAACAGATACAGAATGCATGGAGGATACTAGAAAGTTTAGTTGAAAGTGACAAAATCAAGGAAATAGGAATTGCCGATGTTGAGGAAAATACATTCAGAGCACTACATCAATGGGCGAACGTGAAACCCAATATTATACAAATAAATCTTGCCACTTGTTGCGTTGTACCGCCGTCCCTACAGGATTTCTGCAAGGATAATGATATAAAGCTACTTACACATAGTGATCCAAGTGGTCAGTATTGCCAGAGATTATTGCTCTCTGTTATCTCTTGAGAATCTCGCTGTTATTTTAATTAATTGATATTCTTTATGTTGCAGATATATTACCAAAATCTTACATTGAAGAGATATTTGGGAAACCCCTAGTTCTCAAGTGGGCACTACGTTTTTTAATTCATGTCAAGTGTCGAGGAGTACTTACAACTAAGGGATATTTGTTGCATTTTTCAGAAGTATAGACAGTAATAAAATATTGGACTAATACATTTTTTTATTGAACATACTCTTTAGCTTTTTTAATTCATCACATCGATTGTGTGAGAAAACTGTCATTATTCGTTCACAGTGGCGTAATTGAGAATTTATCTCTGAGAGGGGGTCTAGGTCCAATATCCATCAATATTTAGGAAAAAAAGCGATATACAGGGTGTCCGGAGATAAAACCGACAAGACTTGTGGGGTTATAGGGGCTGTCAATATGATTGCAAAATGCCATAAACCAATGTCCAAAACCGCTTCGTTATTGACATACAGAGTGATTTGTGGATTTTGACAAAAAATTCAATCCGCCATATCAAATACAGGGATTAACCGATTAAATTCAAATTTGGTACACGAATTACACTGAAAAGCATCAACAAGTAGCCCTTTGATCGAAACCAATATCAGGACAGGAATGATATTTTTTCCCTATGTTGAGTTATTGTGAGAATAACTCGCCCTGTATAATAATAACAAAAAATTTCAACTCAGATTCGACATCTACGGTAAAAATTGTTGAAAAATCTCTTGGCACTATCTTAGTTATTCCGTAATTAATTATTATCTTAATTTTTTTCTCTCAAAATTCAATTATTGTCCGATAAAGTACTATCAAAATTGGTAATATAATAAATATCAACGAAACCATGACATGAATATCGTTATTTTCTTCAACCAGTCCGTAAATCGTAGTAAAATAAAATACTCTCATTACCCGAAAAAACTGAAAAATAAATTCGTATCAGGACTGGATTGCGGTTTTCTATGCTTATATTCCTGTAAGAATTGATGATCTAGTATAACAATGATCTGATCGCAGATTCTAAATGCACTGAGAAAAGTTAAAAACTTGTTGAAAAATGATCGGATTGAACTGTCAAATAATAAATCCGTATCAGTACCTTATAATGTTTGTGTACTAGGCTTGTGTCAAATTCAGAATTTCATTATGGAAAACCATTGTTCAGCTGTCATCAGCGTTTCTTTTATTTGTGTTCATTCATTATTCCAGTGTTTTTAGGATCAAACTATAGTTCTGAGAGTGTGCTTATGATGCCGTTTCATTTCACTTATGAGGAATACGCAGATATTCTATTTGTGTTTGGGCTTTAACTGGTGATGTTTACCTAAATTTCCTGGTCAATACTTGACCGGATCTATTACAAGGTGTAAATACCTAAGGTATATGGTTTCAGCATGATGGTGCTAGACCTCACTCTTCAGTTCCAGTTAGAAACCATCTCGATGCCAATTACCCCAATAGATGGATTGGCCGTGGAGGTTCAGTAAATTGGCCACCGCTATCCCCTGATCTAAATCAGCTAGATTATTTTTTATGAGGTCATTTGAAGTAAGAAGTTCATAATGAAGAAATTTTTTTTGGGAAATTACTGCTGCATGTGTTAGTGTTAGAAATAACCCTCAAATAATTCGCAAGTCAGTGAATCATCTAATAGCACGCTCTCAAAAATGTATTGATGTTGGAGGGCTCCACTTCGAAAATGTTTTGTAATACTGGTTAGTGAAAGTTTTTCACGAATTCGTTGCTTTTGTTGTGTTCATTACAAACAGTTATTGTACGTTGTGTAGTATTCTCATAAATTCAAATTCATTAGTGAGCGAATATAATTTACGAAAACTTCACTGTTATCCTTCTTTAACAGGTTTTATACGATTTTTTTAGATTCCGAATCTACGATCAGATTATTGATAACTATTGATGTACTAGGTCAGCTAACATGACCAAACAAAACACTCATTCCAGTCCTGATACGAATTTATTCTTCAGTTTTTTCGGGTTATGAGAATATTTCATTTCACTCCGATTCATGAACTGATCGAAGAAAATAACGACATTCATGTCATGGTTTCGTAAATATACGTACTTTATCCGACAATGATTGATTTTTCAATGAAAAAAATCAAAATGATAATTAATTACGGAATAACTAAGATGGTGCCAGGAGATTTTTCAACAAATTCCTATACAATTTTCACCGTAAATTGCGAATCTGAGTTGAAATTTTTGGTTAATATGATACACGGTGAGTTATCCTAACAATAACTCAACATAGGGGAAAAATATTATTCCGGTCCTGATATTGGTTTCGATCAAAGGGCTACTTGTTGATGCTTTTCAGTGTAATTCGTGTACCAAATTTGAATCCAATCGGCTAATCCCTGTATTTTATATGGCGGATCGAATTTTTTGTCAAAATCCACAAATCACTCTGTATCTCAGTAACGAAGCCGTTTTGGACATTCGTTTATGGCATTTTGCAATCATATTGACAGTCCCTATAACCCCAGGAGTTTTGTCGGTTTTATCTCCGGACACCCTGTATAACTTACGTTGGTTTCAATAAATGTGTGCATCATTTGGTACCAATAACAAAATGAAGGAAATAGTATTGAAAAATAATGAAATAATATCACATATCAACAGGTACAAACATTGAAATAGGAACAAAAAAAACAAAATAACAAAAATTAAAAATTCGACTAAATCAGCTACTGAAAAAAAAAATTCAAACTGTTGCATTTTTTGTTGGAATCAAGCGACTAGTTTTTGGGAGAAAGAGAGAAATGAGGAAAAAATACCCATTCAATAAACAGGGTGATTCAAAATTCGATGTAAATATCTTAAGTAGGTACGTATTGTTGGGTCAAGGTAAAACTTCTTCATATAATGATGTGGCCTAACATGCAACCCCTTTCGAGCTACAGTCACTGTAAGTTGGTTAAAAAACGAAATATTATTTGAAATTGGGATCAAGTGCAAATATTGCAGTACCGCACGCCTCTGAAATAGCAGTCTCAAATGCTTTCCGACATGCGATTACCTCCATATGCAAGCGTTTAACCCATTGCGTTCCCGTTTCGATGATTACGATTTTCTGGAAAACGGTTAGTTGTATGAAAAAATGCAAGATATCGAATTATCAATTTTTTTATGGCCCACAGTGTCTAAAGAGACAAGGACATGCCAATTTTCATAAGATGTGACCCGTTATATTTTAGTCACAGTCAGATAATCCTTTTTTTACCGAACTTCACAGTGGCGTAGCTACGAAGGGGTGCATTTTAAGGCACATGTTTATGAGAATAAGTCTTATTTTGGCCCAAACAATATGTCCTTAAAATATTTACATCGAATTTTGAATCACCCTGTATATGGATGTCTCAATAAGAAACCAGAATATTGTACACATGGAGTCGTGAGGAATGACCACAAAATATATTGATGTTTTTTTTCTTATTTTCTCCATCTCTTTAAAACTACATAGTTATCGTATGTTTCCAATGACAATAACTAACATCCGATATTCGTTCGGAGGTTCTAACAAATTACAAATTGAATTCTCGTGATATTTCCTATACTCATGTCTATTTTTCCATTAGAATTTTTACCAGATTGTTTCAGTTTTTCAGACAGCTGAATTGCGCCACTGTTCGTTCATCAGAAGCATATGTAATGAGTGCATCTTAGGAATCCTACCACCATAATAATTATTATGGAAGGTACTGGAGTGTATACAATATGAGACACACTGTATGCTAGCATCACAGTCATTATAATCATGTGCTTTTTTAAATCCGAAAGGCATTATATTTTCAAAGGGAATCTCTGGATTTTGCTTGATTCAGGTATGGCAATCATTGCCAACTATGGAAATTATCAATTACATAGACTATCAAACAACCTTGTGAACAACAATTATTGCTATATTTATGCCAATACGTGACCTCAGATTAGTCCACTAAATCAGCAGAGTATACCATGATATGAAATTATTATATCTTGAGGTATCGATGTTTTCAGGTACACTATTGGTGTCCTGAATAAGGCCTCAAATTTTATTGAAATTTAGCAAACAATTTCCAGAAAAAAGATCGCTCCAGTAAGCTCTTGCGATTTTCTCACTCCCTTGAGTCTCGATTTTTTGCCATGACAATATAACTTTCATACAATTAAACATGTGTTTATCGATACAAAAAGATATTCCCGATAAAACCTTATTTACATTGAACTGTCAAAACATATTTATTCTCTTGAACCAATGGTTCGGGACAGGTAGCCCTGTGGACAGAGTGTCAATATTCTAATCCGCATTCGCTTGCCGGTCGTGGGTTCGATTCCCATCGACTGCAGACATTTTTGTGATGGCCCAAGAAAGTGTTTGGGATCACACGTAAAAGGTAAGGCCCCCGTCATTCCTTGCTCGCACATCAAGACTCTCGAAGACTTCTGAGGGTTGCTCGTAAGGGAGCAACCGAATGACGGATAGAACAATTTTTTATTTACAATGTACAACGGCCAAAGCGAATGCTCAGGGGCAGGTCTGACATTTCATTTTCACATCATCTGATTCTTCCTCGTATTGTTTTGTTTGTGAGATATATCGTGTCCTCAAACCTAATTGATAATTTTTTATTTTCCACGAAAACTTGTTTACTTGGTAAATACATGAAAACAAAACGATTGATAAAATCACAAGTACGTAGGACGAGTGATTTTATCTTATTCGGTTTGTTCCAATGATTTCGCCTCAAATAAAGAAATTTGAGGAATGAAAGTGAAATGAAAATTTGAAGATCTACTTGTATTTATAGAAAGTTTTTTTTCCAATATAAAAAAGAACATAATTCAGTTTCATCACAAGCAGCTTTTACTAGTCAAATTTTTGAGGTCTTCCTTCTATATGATCCATCAAATAGCGATGATTATTTCATCAATGCGATGATGTTGCATATATTTGCGGCGACTATAAGCGTGTTTCGCTTACGTCGATTATACAACCTTCAAGTGTTTCTTTGAAAATGAAACGTGTTTGCTATTATCTGTACTATTATGATGAATGACAATGTAGAATGTTACGTTTTGTTGTTGCCGAGAATCGGTGTTTGATTGATACACACGTTACTCATAAGATAAAGGTTAAGAGAACCAAGATGTCATTCACAGGTATATTAAAATTGACAGTTGAGTCAAATAGAATCATCGTTTCTGTTCACCGATCTAGTTATATTTGTCGTTGGCAAATATCTTTTTTTAGGCCAATAAAATGCTGACAAAGTTAATTGTTTTTTCCTCCGATTGGCAGCAAATATTGATTTTGCTGACACATATCGATCAGCAAAGTATTACTTTTCCTGCCTAGGCAGCAAAGTGGGTACTTTGCTGATTGATATGTATCAGCAAAATTGAAAATCCATAAATCGTTTATAATTTCCTTCATATTTCATCCGAGACTTCTCCAGCAACAAATTCAACTCTATATTTATTGCCACCTCCCTTATTAATGGAGGTGTAAGTATACTTCCAGGTCGCTATCACTGTCCATTATATAATAATTTAAATATACCGATATTGTTTCGCACAACTGTCAGAAATTTCATGAAATGTCAAACCAACAACTGCGATTTCTATCAAATTTTATTTTAATTGAACACTATACAGGAAGAATTAAGAGATTGTGGGAATTGTATTAATTCGCAAACACAATATTCTCCCATATCATTATGAACAATCGGAGAAAAAATCATATGTTCAACTCGGCAGCACAGTAGATTGACTGCCTTAGCTGGATTCCTAGCCTCGCTACGCTCGGCTATGAATTCAGCCACGGCAGTCAATCTACTACTTTGCTGCCTAGTTAAACAAATAACTATTTTCGTCGACTTCTTATTAACAAGTTTGATTAATATACAGTGCATCTGATTTTGGTTGAGACAGCCAGGTATCTCGGTTGTTGTTGAAGATAGAACCTTTCGGTTTTCGTGGTCCTGTGCCAATGTGACACTTTTTTGTAAAACTCATGATGGCCCTGTCAGATTTTACCAAACTTATTTTGTTCATAAGTTACAAGGCGTTTCTGAAAATTCACACTCTGGACCCCCTCCATATCTACGAATTATCTCAGCGAAAATGTCAAATTGAAATACTATTCCATAGATAATTTTACGCAGAATCCAGTGGCGCACTTATTATTTATTTCGGGGTATGGTTCTGGAGATACGACTCAAACTTATGATTTTTCAAATTTAACACCCTGTATTTTATTAGCCTATTAAATTCCTTAAATTTTTCCCTTCAAAATGATATATAATGTATGAATATAAAATTCTCAAAAATACTTCAGAATCACTGAAATATTGTATTTCAATAGTGGGCTATGGATTTTTCACATAAAAAAGTTCCAATTGAAGGAATATTACTTTTGATTTTTTCATGATAAGGACAAAAACAATCCAATGGTTCTGGTAATTTTCTTCATGTATCGGCACTATCAGCCTCGAATTGTGGGCAGGTTAAAATTGATTGGATTGAAACAAATGGACCCACTAGGTGGCCTCCACGGTCACCTGATTTATCAGTGTTGGACTTTTTCTTGAGGGTTTTCGAATAATAAAATATACACTTAAGAGGCACAACAGTCTTGAGGAAGGCACTAGAGGCTGTCAATTGATAAGACCATCTAAAGTAAGATTACAAAAATCAAGTAGAACCTCTCTCAATGTAAATATTTACAACTCACTACCCACTTACGTCAAAGCATCGAGTCTCAATAGTTTAAAAAAACACATGCATTCATATTTGACTCTCAATGTATTTTATACTACCTACTACTATAGCTGCCTTCACATCCATATAAAAAAATAACCATTATTTCTCATACATTATTTTTTATCTATTATTTTTTTTATACATAACTTTTATAGAGTTTTAATCATAGCCTATATATCATATTTATCTTTGTTTGTTTGTATGTAGACTTTTTTTTAAGGTTTTTGATTTTTATTTAATCTGTAAATCTCTACTTTTAGCCACTTGGTTTTTATAATATTCCTAACCTATATGTATATGTGAGGTATCTAATTCTAATGAATGCATCCAAAAGACAAATAAATTATCTATCCATCTATTATCATTTTATGAAGAAAAAATCTAAGTATTAGCCAGTACACCAAACATTTGTTATCTATAGGAAATGGTTGTGATGAATGAAAAACTAATGTGACTAAACATCAACATCTATTAAACTTTCATTAGGCGTTGGGTAGTAAATGTTAGAAGCAACATGCGTCTTGAAATACTCGGGCCCGTACTCTTCAAACATGTTCTTAGTCAACAAGCATTTCTTAAACTCTCCCGACCTGACAAACTGCCTGGCGCCGTACCAGGCCGTCAAACTAGAGTCCCCCATAATACTAACATTCACCTCGGATCGAAACGGCCTTATAGAAATGAGGTCGACCAACAACCGCTCCCTGAGCCCCTTCAAATTCGCCAAACCCCCCGTGACCACAACGTTCGCCGCCAATTTCAGCTGGTCTTCATCGCCGAACAACGACAAAACATAACCTATAACTTCGGACAGGCCAGCTTCTGGGGAGCCTGACATGTACGGCTTGAAGATCAGCTCGGGTGCTCGATACCTTTCGATGCCAACGTGTAGTTGATGCAACTCTCCCAGATTGGCATGTTCGTCGAACTCCTGGGGATCGTGAGTGCGCAAGATTTCCTCGAACTCCAAGAGCTTCTCATTTTCAACATCGCTATCGGAATCTCCACCTACGATCAATAATTGGTACACCATGAATCAATTAACTCTGAAAGCTGGCTATAATAGAATTGAAATAATAATAATAATAATGTTTATTCACGTTCATACATATAACATGTCATGGTGCTTGATGGTAATAATAGATGAACTAAAGTGAACAGACAGACTAGCCCACAAAAATCATAGATTGCGTATGGGATTGATTAGCTTATTCATCACATAATTCAAGAGAGAGATCATTATTACATTAACAATATCATAGAGTTAACAAAAATACTACCTATCCTAAACCAATAACAAAAAAGATATTCTATTAACTAACATAAATAGCAAAATGCTATTAAAAGATGATATTACATCTGTATGATAATAATAATAATAATAATAATTTTAATAATACGAATACTCATGAATAATAATAAAAAAAAAATGTTACCTAGAGACATGAATGTTTCAATTACCAGGATCAATTAGATTATGAACATGCAGCCTATCCTGTTCCAATAAATATTTTTTTACTTTGCTTTTGAAAAGTTTGAGCGAGTTTATTCCAATCTTCAGACATGCAGGTAAAGTGTTGAATAATCTAGTGTGGAGGTACGTATGACATCTTTGTCCAATTGTTTTTGCAGAGTTTGCTGTTTTTAGATTGTTGCTAGTTTTATGCCTTGTACAATATATATGATCTACGAAGGACCTTTTCAATACTCCATACTGAAATGATACAACTGTTAGAAAATAAAGCTGTCTTATATCTAGTATGCTGCTCTCACTGAAAAGTAAGTTTGATGGGTAAGTTGGATTTTTTTGGTTCATTATTTTCAGAAATCGTTTTTGTACTGATTCCATTTTTTTCAGGTGTGACTTAGCAACTCCTCCCCACCCGATGATTCCATATATTAGCCTAGATTCTACAAGTGAATAATAAATAATACGCATCTGTGGTAAGTCTAATATGGTTTTCAAGTATTTAAATTTATATATAATACTCCTCAGGGTGCCTGTGACATAGTTGACGTGAAAATCCCATCTGAGGTGCTGGTCGATTATTATACCCAAGTATTTCGTTTTTTCCACACGATCAATTCGATAAGTTGTATTTCTGTCATTGGAGATGGTCAGGAAATCATAACTTGGTGAACCACTTTTATTACTAGAGAAACAGATGAAAGTTGTTTTCGTGTAGTTTATTGTTAGCAATTTATGGTCAAGCCAGTTTATGATTCGCTTCAGGTCATTTTCAGAAGTTTGTTTGAGTGTTGTCCAATCTTTTCCCTTATAAATGATGACAGTATCATCCGCAAAGCTAATGATTTTTCCACAAGAATTCAATTTGAAGAGGTTATTTATGTATATGGAAAATAGTGTTGGACCTAAAACAGTTCCTTGAGGAACTCCATATTCAATGATACGTTCGCTGCTTACTTCGGAATTTATTCTAACATATTGTTTCCTGTTATGTAAATAGCTTGTGAAGAGGAGGTATGTAGGATTTCCAGTGCATTTTTTATGTTCTGGTTCCCACAAAAAGGGATACCACAAAAAGGGATAACCTGTAATGTTAAAACAACATCGTGAGAACCAATAAAAATAAGGTAGGAATTGGTGTTCTGGAGGTTATATGCCTCGGGTAATGTGTTCCAGAGCCTCGCTGTTCGTTGGATGAACGAGTCTTTGGAAAGAAATGTTCTGCAGGTCTCCAAAGTGACCACGAAGGGGTGCGGAGCCTCAACTCGACGGGTTAATCTCGCAGGGACTGCCAAGGGAGGAACAATTGTTGATATTTCAGAAGAGCATCGTCCATGAAAATATCTATAAAATAGGGCCAGATCGCCAACTTTTCTACGGTGTTCCAGGGATGTGAGTGAGTTTGTGAGCGAGGCATCACCCACGAGACAAATTGCCCTTTTTTGGACAGAATCCAACAGTTTCAGGGTATGTTTGGGTGCTGCACTCCAAATATGGGAACAAAATTCCAGGACAGGTCGGATCTGTGCCTTATAGATCATAAGCAGCTGACTGGAAGTGGAATAGCTCCTGTCCCGAAACAGAAAACCAAGTTTTTGGGATTCACTTTTAGCAATTGATGTCACGTGATTTTGCCAAGAAAGGTTATTGCTGATAGTGATACCAAGCATCGAAATGGATGTCTTCAAAGGTATGGTTTCTCCTGACAAGCTCATGTTGGGCACAGTGAGATCGGCTTTTGTAGAGAAAAGGCATGCTTGTGTTTTGTTTGCATCGAAATCTACCAAGATATTGGATCCCGATTCGAGAATTGTAGCCAAGTCCATATTTATGTTGTCAACATTTCTCCCTCGTTCGTTCCTGATTTGCCTGGCTGGTATTGGAGCCCTGGAAGAGAAGGCGGTATGGAGGGTACTATCATCCGCGAAGCTGTGTACTGGACATGAAGTTGTTTCCAACAAATCGTTGATATGGAGTAGAAATAGTCAAACAACTCAAAATTAAACTGACACGCGCGATCCAGTTTTCTCATTTTCCGTTGTCACTCGAAATTGTATCTTCTCGGTTGCGTAATCGACAAAAATTATGACTCACTCGCCTATGTATATATTGCTTTCGGACATTTCCGTATATAAGGAAAGGCAATGCCAGAGGACGAATGGGGAATAATGGAGACTGTATAGTACCATCCTGACAGCGATAATTCATGTAGTGCATGATTTCGAGTGACTTCGGGAATTGGGGTGATTCTGCTGCCTCCTGTGTGATGAGAACTCGTCCTCCCTGCCGATTGATCGACGGGTGTCCCGTTAGCTCAATTGGCAAAGCGTGGGGCGTGTAGCCCAGAGGTTGTGAGTTTGACTCTCAAGCGGGGCAGTGGAGTTCTTTCATTTTCCGTTGTCACTAGAAGTTAGGGCTTTTCATCATTGAATCAAATATCCAACTGGACTACATTGATTCGTCCCCACTTCACAGAAAACACACGTCCGCAGGCTCACTGCTCATTGCTCAGTCAGTCGGTGATGGTAACCCGTAGTGATATTTTCTACACATAGGGATTTTTCCACTAAATTTTGGGCGTGTAGGGATGTAGGGACCGATTTTTAGGTAGTACAGAATTATGGGGAATTTCGTGATGTTGGTGTTATGTGGCTGAATAGCTCAGACAGCGTGATGAATTCGATTTGAAAAAAGGTGAACCGAACCAAATCAACACATTTCGGAGGTCAGAGCGTTCCATTTTTATTTCCATTATTTTTATGATCTACGGTTTGTGACATCATTGGATATTTATACCGTCTTGGTTTGTCTTTCAAGGGTGCAAGTAAGATAAAAATTATAAGTTTCAAACTGACAGGACACTGCACTGGAAACACTCCCAGATTCAAGTGCAATTTTTGCGTTTTTCGTTGTTGTGAATTGTAGGGATTTTTTAGGTATAAAAGGTTACCATCACTGCAGTCAGTATGAAAATCTTGTGATGAGTTAGCATGCGAAAAATCATTTGCAGCAATGAATGTAAGAAAAATCGACACAAAACTTGAGTCTTTTCTCCCCTTGTGAACGTGAACATTGAAATACGCACGCGGAATTAGGTATATTATTCACAAATATGTAGCTTACAAATGCCACAGATTCAAATGATCATCTTGAAAACCCTAGATTTCTGACATTTTGTATGATCACTTATAATTATTACACCAGAGCTTTCTTTGTTCATTCTTATTGTCAAAGTAAACTCGACATTTTAATGGGATTGTTTTTTGCCTGGGAATCAAACGAAAAAAATTGCTAGGCAGTAATTTGAGTTAAATTTCCTAAAGGCAACAAAACTTGAATTATCAATTTCTAGTTCACTTGGACCCAAAATAAATGCAGGAGTATTTCTCAATTTCTCCACTAGAAGTCTCCAAATCGCAACACATCCACAGATTATATACAAAAAAGCCATCAAGATTCCTTCACATTCTGGTTGTCATGGTTAGGTTAGGAAATCCTATGGCAATTTTTTCACTGTCATAATGACAAAATCACAGTGGCTTATGGGATTTTTCATACATGAATTAAATTTTCTCCAAAAACCAATTAGCACACAAATTTGAGAGGGAGTTGTAAATATATTAATGTATTATAAAACTTGGAAATACTATGAAAATCTGTAAAAAGTGTTCTTGAGAAAGAAACATGCTTTTTCCAAAAAATCATTCACAGATTTGGTAAAATTCAAAATAAACTACATACTCCTGAAGTTTAGTGAAAATTGGCTACAAATTTCAAAGTAGGCTTTTTCTTGAATTGATTTTCAATGACAATTTCATGCCATGAGCATGGGAACTATGAAGGCTATTATGTGCATGGTCTTTTAAATCAATAATCTTACCATCTTTGCTGATAGTCTTGTAAATATCCCAGTCTTCATCTCTCATTCCAAAATCATCATTTCCTTTCTCTTTTCTTGCTAATTGAGAAATAATTCTCATGCGTTCTTGACCAGCTGCTGTTCTTCTTTTGAAAATGTCTTGTTTCCTCTGCTTCCTCATGAGTTTTTTGTTTAGAATGTCTTGTTTCTACAATATTTTTTATGATACAAGAAAGAAATTAAATCCGGAAACTTAACTTACCATTTTTTTAATGTTGTCTAAAAATGAATGTAATGCACTTTCATTCTCAAACACCATTTTGGATAATTTAGCTTGCTTCACAGGGGGCTCTTCCAGATCTTCAGTATTATTGGCAGCAGTTATTTTCTGTTTGATTTTCTCAATTTTCATATTGAGATTCAGTATACTTTTTTGTAAATCATTCACATTCCTCAGTTGATACTCAGCTAAAATATTGTCTACTTCATCTTTATCTGCACCAAAATCAATAATCTCTTGAATTTCCAATAATTGTCTCAATTTTTCTTGATCTTCAGCTAACCTTTCTTCCCTTTTGCGAGCATTGATTTCTGTTAATCTCCTGGCAAGCTCACGTTTTCTTTCCTTTTGTTGTTCTACTAAATGAGAACCAATTTATTCATTCATGCAAATTCTGCACTCAAATTATGAAATCTATATTTCACCAAAAATGTGTATTCCTGAATGAATATCAACATACATACATATTGATATTTCAGCAATATTGACCTAAAACTGATGATGGCAGTATGGGCAGTCCATATATCAATATAGGTAACTGATAGTTCATTTTTTCAGAGTATATGTAAATAAGTCATATGAAATATTTCATTATTTTCTTTATTTACTTAAATAAAACTTGCTCTTGGTCCAGTTTGATTCTCTGGATCCCTATAATGTCTAAACCATTCTAATAAATCAGTCTGACAAAGAATTCCTATGGGTCAAGCAACAATAATAAATAGAGCAGCAAAACCAACACCAAGGTATGTATATATAATGTCTAAACCATTTTAATAAATCAGTCTGCCAAAGAATTCCTATGGTCAAGCAGAAATAATAAATAGAGCAGCAAAAATAATAAATAGAGCAGCAAAACCAACACCAAGGTATGTATTTATAATGTCTAAGCCATTTTAATAAATCAGTCTGCCAAAAAATTCCTATGGGTCAAGCAAAAATAAAAAAAAAGAGCAGCAAAACCAACACCAAAAGGTATGTACAGTACCTGCATATATGGTGATCATATACATCAAATACATGTGTTGAAGTTGGTTCTGCTACATTTCTCATGATTTTTTACCATTCAAAATTATAAACACCAAAGTACAAACTCAAACTGAAATTAACTTACATGTTAATGCAGAACTGGTACTTGCTGAACTGAAGGGTAACTGGATTTTCTTAATATGCTTTTCATAATATTCATTGTCAGTCCACCTCTTCATCTCTTCCTTATAATCTGAAGCTATGACACAAATTGTGTGCAGCAATTCTTCAGCTCTACTCAATGTAACAGCTGCTGCATGTGCAGGATATTTCAGCTGTAATATTCTATGTAGAAAAGTAATGACATTCCATCCCCCTATATTAAGTCTCCTGGTATTCTCAAAAACAGTCTTATTCCCAAGAACAGGAATGACATGGCATGTCTGGTAGCCCAGGTTTATAATCAGGGCATTTTCTAATGGCTTAGCTTGTGTATAATGATAGGATAATAGGGAATCAATTCCATACACTACTCCTGGTATTCCATAGCATTCAAATAACAGTTCAGACATTACTACAAAAATTAGCTGCATAGAGTATAAGTAGTTAATGGTATTTAATGACATCTTCATCAATGTTATATCAAAATTTTGGTGAAACAACCATTTATTGGTTCATGGTTGCCTAGTTTGTACTCATACAACTTGACAAAAGTTCATGTAAATTGAAGCAGGTTTTGTTTATTGAAAAACTGACAATTTCTTCATTATATCTCAGGCAAGATCTGAGATGGATCTGAAAAATGACTCTCAGAGGACAATTCTGATATTTGAAAATAATCAATATGCTTAGCCAAAACAGAAGGTAAATTCAATTCTGAAACATCCTGTACAAAACTTAGAAAAGGAAAGTGCCCTACTCACACTGTCTGGAAGTATTTGGATTCAAAAACGCTTCTGTTAGAAATAGTGGATGATTCACAGAATTTTCAGTATCTATTCCTAGATGTGTGAATGTGTAATCAAACAGATGTTCTTGAGCTTCAAAATGAGTAACTACATTACGATCAAATTGTGTTTTCAGTTGAAATCGTACTGCCTCAATATTCAGAATATCATTTCCAACTTGTAGTTGAGGAATCTGTATTGGCTCTATAGTGTCCTTCTTGGACCTCTCTTTTCGAGGCTTTGCTATTATATTTTTGAATTGTAAAACAGGTGCTTCACTAGTTGACCACCCTGCTCTGGACATATAAGAACCTAAAATAACAGAGGGAATTGATAATGTATATTATTCTGATAGAAATACTCACCATTATCAATTACAATGGGAACCGAATTATTTTTCAAATTCTGTGTATATGGATGGATAATATCAGGATTACATTTTGCATCTTTAAATTCAAAAACATCCATTTTCCCCAGATTCATCCCTCAACGGCCTTCTGAAAATCATGAGGAGATATTCATTTCTCTATGGGAGATATCCACCATTCCACTACTACTACTACTTCCACCAATTCCACCATAGTAATCTGCTTCCACTAAAACATGAATTAGATATCATGTCATTCTAAAAACATTGAAAACCAGCAGATGACAAGCAGCTAAGGCGCTAAGGGTGTAAGGCCTGTAAAGGAAAAGGAGGGATGGTAAAGGAATTAGGGAAGAAGAAGAACAAAAGAGTGAATGTCAGCGTATGACAGTTATGTTCGAGTTTCTTCTTCTACGTTTCTTGATTAAGATAAGGTTAAGATAATTATTTTATTCTGGCCAAATGCAAGGATTATAAACCAAATGCGCCATCATGGAAGCAAAGGCCAATAAAATTGGAAGAAGATGATGTATTATACAGGGTGTCCCTAAAAGGCCTGTACAAAACTTTAGCACCTATTCCTGAGCACTTATGTGAAGTTAGCGTCGGGAGCTAGCGCTCAAACTCAGCGCCCACCCCCCACCACAGCGCCCAGTTCACACCAGAGAATTTCATACTCAACTGGCGCTAGCGCCCAAAAATACCAGACATTTTCAGGAAAAACTTTTTTTTCTCCACCTAAGTATTTCTTGTGATGGGTTTTCAGATAGTCGCCGTAAATATACAGGGCGATGACTATATTTTGGCAGAATTTCTGGTCTCTAAACAGATGGCATCTAATAAAAATATACCTAAGTCGTTTTAAGAATAACTTTTTTTTTCATCTAAGTATTTCTTGTGACGGATTTTCAGATAGTTATCATGAATATACAGGGCGATGACTATATTTTGGCAGAATTTCAGATCTCTAAACAGATGGCATCTAATAAAAAAATACCTAAGTCGTTTTAAGAATAACTTTTTTTTTCATCTAAGTATTTCTTGTGACGGATTTTCAGATAGTTACCATGAATATACAGGGCGATTACTATATTTTGGCAGAATTTCAGGTCTCTAAACAGATGGCATCTAATGAAAAAAAAATACCTAAATCGTTATGAGCAAAACTCTTTTTTTTTTTCATCTAAGTATTTTTTGTGACGGATTTTCAGATAGTCACCATGAATATAGATGGGCGATGACTATATTTTGGCAAAATTCGAGGCAAAATTTTAGGTCACTAAACAGATGGCATCTAATAAAAAAATACCCAAATCGTTATAAGCAAAAATTTTTTTTTCATCTTAGTATTTTTTGTGACGGATTTTCAGATAAATACCATGAATATACAGGGCGATGAGTATATTTTGGCAGAATTTCAGATCTCTAAACAGATGGCATCTAATAAAAAAATAACTAAGTCGTTTTAAGAAAAACTTTTTTTTTCATCGAAGTATTTCTTGTGACGGATTTTCAGATAGTTACCATGAATATACTGGGCGATTACTATATTTTAGCAAAATTTTAGGTCACTAACCAGATGGCATCTAATAAAAAAATACCTAATAAGTTATTTTTAAAAAAACTTTTTTTCCCATATTAGTATTTCTTGTGACGGATTTTTAGATAGTTACCATGAATATACAGGGCGATGACTATATTTTGGCAAAATTTCAGATCTCTAAACAGATGGCATCTAACAAAGAAAAAATACCTAAATCGTTATAAGCAAAAATTTTTTTTTTCATCTAAGTATATTTTGTGACGGATTTTCAGAAAGTTACCATGAATATACAGGGCGATGAGTATATTTTGGCAGAATTTCAGATCTCTAAACAGATGGCATCTAATAAAATAAAAAAAAATACCTAAATCGTTATAAGCAAAGCAAAAATTTTTTTTCATCTAAGTATTTGTTGTGACGGATTTTCAGATAGTTACCATGAAAATACAGGGCGATGACTATATTTTGGCAGAATTTTAGGTCACTAAACAGATGGCATATAATAAAAAAATACCTAAATCGTTATGAGCAAAAATTTTTTTTCCATCTAAGTATTTTTTGTGATGGATTTTCAGATAGTTAAGATGAATATACAGGGCGATGACTATATTTTGGCGGAATTTCAGGTCTCTAAACAGATGGCATCTAATAAAAAAAAAATACCTAAATCGTTATGAGCAAAACTCTTTTTTCATCTAAGTATTTTTTGTGACGGATTTTCAGATAGTTACCATGAATATACAGGGCGATGACTATTTTTTGGCGGAATTTCAGGTCTTTAAACAGATGGCATCTAATAAAAAAATACCCAAATCGTTATAAACAAAAATTTTTTTTTCATCTTAGTATTTTTTGTGACGGATTTTCAGATAGTTACCATCAATATACAGGGCGATGACTATTTTTTGGCGGAATTTCAGGTCTTTAAACAGATGGCATCTAATAAAAAAATACCCAAATCGTTATAAGCAAAAATTTTTTTTTCATCTTAGTATTTTTTGTGATGGATTTTTAGATAGTTACCATGAATATACAGGGCAATGACTATATTTTGGCGGAATTTCAGGTCTCTAAACAGATGGCATCTAATAAAAAAAAAAATACCTAAATCGTTATGAGCAAAACTCTTTTTTTTCATCTAAGTATTTTTTGTGACGGATTTTCAGATAGTTACCATGCATATACAGGGCGATGACTATTTTTTGGCGGAATTTCAGGTCTTTAAACAGATGGCATCTAATAAAAAAATACCCAAATCGTTATAAGCAAAAATTTTTTTTTCATCTTAGTATTTTTTGTGACGGATTTTCAGATAGTTACCATGAATATACAGGGCGATGACTATTTTTTGGCGGAATTTCAGGTCTCTAAACAGATGGCATCGAATAAAAAAATACCTAAGTCGTTTTTAGAAAAACTTTTTTTTCCCATCTTAGTATTTCTTGTGACGGATTTTCAGATAGTTACCATGAATATACAGGGCGATGACTATATTTTGGCAGAATTTCAGATCTCTAAACAGATGGCATCTAATAAAAAAATACCTAAGTCGTTTTAAGAATAACTTTTTTTTTCATCTAAGTATTTCTTGTGACGGATTTTCAGATAGTTACCATGAATATACAGGGCGATTACTATATTTTGGCAGAATTTCAGGTCTCTAAACAGATGGCATCTAATAAAAAAAAAATACCTAAATCGTTATGAGGAAAACTCTTTTTTTTTTCATCTAAGTATTCTTTGTGACAGATTTTCAGATAGTTATCATGAATATACAGGGTGATGACTATATTTTGGCAAAATTTTAGGTCACTAAACAGATGGCATCTAATAAAAAAATACCCAAATCGTTATAAGCAAAAATTTTTTTTTCATCTAAGTATTTGTTGTGACGGATTTTCAGATAGTTACCATAAAAATACAGGGCGATGACTATATTTCGGCAAAATTTTAGGTCACCAAACAGATGGCATATAATAAAAAAATACCTAAATCGTTATGAGCAAAAATTTTTTTTCCATCTAAGTATTTTTTGTGATGGATTTTCAGATAGTTACCATGAATATACAGGGCAATTACTATATTTTGGCAGAATTTCATCTGAAAATCCGTTACAAAAAATACTTAGATGAAAAAAAAAAAGAGTTTTGCTCATAACGATTTAGGTATTTTTTTTTATTAGATGCCATCTGTTTAGAGACCTGAAATTCTGCCAAAATATAGTAATCGCCCTGTATATTCATGGTAACTATTTGAAAATCCGTCACAAGAAATACTAAGATAGGGAAAAAAAGTTTTTTTAAAAACGACTTAGGTATTTTTTTGTTAGATGCCATCTGTTTAGAGACCTGAAATTCCGCCAAAATATAGTCATCGCCCTGTATATTCATGGTCACTATCTAAAAATCCGTCACAAGAAATGCTAAGATGGTAAAAAAAAGTTTTTCTAAAAACGACTTAGGTATTTTTTTATTAGATGCCATCTGTTTAGAGACCTGAAATTCTGCCAAAATATAGTCATCGCCCTGTATATTCATGGTAACTATCTGAAAATCCGTCACAAAAAATACTAAGATGAAAAAAAAATTTTTGCTTATAACGATTTGGGTATTTTTTTATTAGATGCCATCTGTTTAGTGACCTAAAATTTTGCCAAAATATAGTCATCGCCCTGTATATTCATGGTAACTATCTGAGAATCCGTCACAAGAAATACTAAGATGGGAAAAAAAAAAGTTTTTTTAAAAATAACTTAGGTATTTTTTTATTAGATGCCATCTGTTTAGAGATCTGAAATTCTGCCAAAATATACTCATCGCCCTGTATATTCATGGTGACTATCTGAAAATCCGTCACAAAGAATACAAAGATGAAAAAAAAATTTTTGATTATAACGATTTGGGTATTTTTTTATAAGATGCCATCTGTTTAGTGACCTAAAATTTTGCCAAAATATAGTCATCGCCCTGTATATTCATGGTAACTATCTGAAAATCCGTCACAAGAAATACTAAGATGGGAAAAAAAAGTTTTTCTAAGAACGACTTAGGTATTTTTGTATTTGATGCCATCTGTTTAGAGACCTGAAATTCCGCCAAAATATAGTCATCGCCCTGTATATTCATGGTAACTATCTGAAAATCCGTCACAAAAAATACTAAGATGAAAAAAAAATTTTTGCTTATAACGATTTGGGTATTTTTTTATTAGATGCCATCTGTTTAGTGACCTAAAATTCCGCCAAAATATAGTCATCGCCCTGTATATTCATGGTAACTATCTGAAAATCCATCACAAAAAATACTTGGATGGAAAAAAAATTTTTGCTCATAACGATTTAGGTATTTTTTTATTATATGCCATCTGTTTAGTGACCTAAAATTCTGCCAAAATATAGTCATCGCCCTGTATATTCATGGTAACTATCTGAAAATCCGTCACAAGAAATACTAAGATGGGAAAAAAAAGTTTTTTTAAAAATAACTTAGGTATTTTTTTATTAGATGCCATCTGGTTAGTGACCTAAAATTTTGCCAAAATATAGTAATCGCCCAGTATATTCATGGTAAATAT